GTCGTGTACATTGAGTGCCGAGAGTGAAAAAACATTCTATCGTAAAGAATATTCTTGCGTAGCTTTGGGCACTTTGCGGCATTTACATTACGTTTATGCTTCCTTTCCAACCCGAAACTCGATCATTTATTAACAATCAATCAATAAATTAATTAATTAAGTAATTAAATATATTAAGTACCAATGAATATGAATCATAAGCGCGCAGATTTGTTACTTAAATAAAGGGGACAAGCAGTCGGACAGGCATTACCGTAATTCGATTACCGTAATCGTTAATTGTTGATAATATACTTGTGAATGCTTTCTGGTCAAATTTCAAATACATTGGATTCGGCAAACATCGCCGAGACTTTTCTTATTGACTTTATTTCATGGCCAACAACTTTTTTAATCACGGCAAAAATCATATAAATGTCAATTTAGACTATCTTGGTAATTTGTTATTAATGACAACTCGCCCGCTCTTTTACCACTTATCTGTTACATCGGAGAAAATGTAAGAAAATAGTAGCTTCATCATTCCTATTCCAATATGACATAATGTAATATAGTTAAGAAGTATATAAATAGTGTGAAGAAAGAAAAAATAAGCAGATCGAGAGAAAGGAGAATCGACGAATACCATCATTTAAGAGATTCTGCTCGATGAGATAAGACTCATATAAAAAGTAAGTATGTTATACAACGAGTAGAAATTAACGCTGCTCTCTAAAGAGAGCGAAAGAAAAAGAAAGAGAAAGCAAGAGAAAGAACTCGATTGGTTTTAATTGGCCATCGCGTACGTAATAGTGTTTATTATTCATTTTAAAGTGATTTTTATACTGTTTCTTGGTTTGTCAATCGAGTTTTTGCAAACATTCATTAGTGTTTAAAGAAATTTTGAGAGAAAAATCAGTTCCAAAGAGAGCCAATGTAAAATTGTTATAACATACGTTTTTTTCTTCTTTTTTTTTTTTTTTACAGTTTTCGGCAATAATTATTAAACTGTCTTTCCTGTGATTTTCTAATAAATCAATTTAGTGTTCTTACGTTAGGCATTCAATTTCAGCCTCTTTTACGGTCCAGCTATTTTGCTACTTTTACTTTCATTAGTAAATCCTTTAAGTATTTAAACGCTTAAAATATTTAAGTTAAAGATTTGGAAAGGAGACTTTATGCTTAAATTTATAAAATTAAATGCAATTCAAATAATGCTTATTTTAACACCTTTTGTCAGTGACTAAATTATACGTAATTAACTTTGATCTTTTAGGTTTCAACTCTTTACTCGAATTAAAAAATAATTAGATATCTCTCTTAATAATCTCAAATTTTCATTCATTGAACAATTAATTGTTATATTATTAATTTGAAAGATTGATTTGAAAGAAATTTTGAAGATTATTAATACACTACGAGCAAAGTCTAAACAACGGTAAACCTTTCCTCAATTCTTAGTAATAACAACATCATATTTAATTAACTATTGTGTAAATAATCGAAGAAACTTTTTTAAATAAAAACGATATCAATGAAATCTATATTGAATTAATTAAAAATACAATCGATGCAATTTTACCTATTTTCGATAATTGTTAAATGCAAAAATTTTGAAATAATAATAAACTTAGATTTATAAATGAATTTAGATGATAATAATAGAAAATGATTTCAATTGATTGAAATTCGTAATAACATTTTACTAACGTTAAAGATTTTATTTTTATGTTTATTTTACCCAACAATGGATACTGAATTTAGCCAATCAATATCTTCGAAGCTCGAACAAGTTCGTTTAAGGAAGCAACATATGTCATTAGAAAAATAAAGCAATTGTATAAAACTGAATGCGAATTTTAATTGACTGTTACATAAAAAGAGATGCGAGACAAAGGCGGAGGAAGCTTATGTAGCTGGCGGTAGAATACGAGACATCAGGTTGTTTTCACAACCAGTCCTGGTCATCTCCAAATAAATCTACTGACGTTTAAACACTTTATTATTCCAGTCATTCTTACATCGTAATCATAGCGTAAAATATCAAGTACTCGCGACGATATACGTGAAAGTACAAACTAAGTACTATTATATTGTTAGTTCTATATGAATTCCAAGTGCGCAATGAATTTTATATAAACACAAACTTAATAATTTGATCTCAGTGTTGATAAATTGTTTTTCATAATATGATTACAAAAAATTAATATATCTAAACTAAATTGATTATAAAATATAGTAATTATTATATTATAAATCAATATTATTTTTTATAAATTTTTTACTATTATTAGATGATAAATTTTTTAAAGACGCAATTGCATTTAATGCCAATGTAAAGGGAGATATTTCTCAAGATCTCGTTAATTATACTAATGAAATATGTTCAAGATTTTGATATGACTAAATTAAAAAGTTTATGAGTAATATAAGCAATTAAATACAGATTTTGTAAAATCGGGTAGGATCTTTGCGTAAGTAGATTTTGATAAAAAGTCAAGCCAAATTTTTTTATCTGAAAATCCATTTGATTTAGACATACATTTACAAAACTTTCTAAAGTTAAATAAACTTGAAAATCCAGTTTAATATCAATATTAATCTCCGAATGGATTCTTTGAGAAGATAAAAAATAGAAATGCATTCTAACATGAGATTTATTGCAGATTGTACTGAATTATATTCTGAATATATAAAACTTTATATCATATGGACACGAATAGCTCCATATTATTTGTAATTTAACGTTTTGTAAAAAGCCTATTTAAGTATTCAACTTATTAAATACCCATGCTTCTGATGGTAAATTCTAAATTAATAAAAATAAATTCTTAAGTATTTAAGCGATTGAGTATAATTAGTCAAAGGCGATCATCTTATGCGTTTCAATATTCGCATCATATAATTCATTCAACTTTTTAGCGTTAATCTTGTACTATTAATTCATAATTAATTTATCTTACGTTACATATATTTCACATCTTATCTAATACTTATAAGTATATATTGGAAGATAGAGATTATTAACTTTTTTCTATGCAATTGACGTTATTTAATGGATTTTTTAAATGTCTTTTATTCCATTCTAAGTATTCTATATAAAAATGATTGGCATATTAAAAATATATTTAGGCTTTAATTGAACGAAGAAAATACTATTATTAATAAAAGAATTAATGTCAAATTTTAGCGATTAACCATAAAATAGCTGATAAATCGATTAAAACGAAAATTGTTTAATTTTTTTTTTCTTTTATTTGCATATATAAAGAAAGTGCATTAAAAGTTCGAGACGTTTGTCAATTTTGTTGATATTGTAATATTTTTCAGTACGCGATAAATCGTTAATAATATGTTTGTATAAAATTTATCCATTTATTCTCATTGGTGCTCATTATTATGCAAAATTATATATAATAAAATATTATTCAATTTTTAAAGAATATTTAAATAATTTATTTATAAAAACACATAGGATAAGCCATCTGTACGTTTGACTTCTCAGTGTCAAAGTTCATAAGGGGTATCGTATTGTACAATAATGATACTCCTACATTAATTAAAATTTAACTAAATTGAATTAAATTTTAAGTTCTAATTGAATTTATCTAAAGGCAAAAGTAGATAGGACCATTAATATAATAGTAGAAGAAAATAAATGGCTGAATTTTAAGATTTTTATCTTAATTTATAGAAATCAAATAGGTGGATATTCAACAATTTACGAACGCATTTATATTTCTTTAAAAGAAAATTTGTAAAAAATATTTAAAAAAAATAATTTGTATTATACCTTAAACAAAAATTTTCTATTTAAAAATCATTTTGTTGGCTTATAAATGCTACAGAATAACCAAATAGTTTTATATTTTATATTTTGAAAAAAAAGTTTTCTCTATACTTTCATATATTAAGTACTTTTATAGTAGTATCAAAGTAATATCAAAGTAATATACGCAACAAATTCATGACCTAATATCTGCTTATCTACTCTTTGTCTCATGTATGTGCAACTATGCAAAAATTCATAAGTCTGTGCGTGTATAAGCTAAATTCGCGACATATTGCTTCATATTTAATAAAAAAAAAATTAAAAAAAAAAAAAAAACAAATAAGACAAGAAAAGCTGGAAAAACTCATTGTTTTACATGATTTTATTCAGTCTGGATAAAAAAACTGTGGATGATGGTAACAAGTAATTAGTTAACACGTAACACTTCGCTCTTTTAAAGACTTATGGCAATTAGTAATATTATCAATTTTATATTGCACCTTTATTATTCGGGAATAGTCATAAGAAATTTTGGTTGAAACGTCATCATGAATTTATTATTGTATTTAATAAATACAATATATATATATATATATATATATATATATATATACATACATATTAAATATAAGTGATATAAAAAAAAAACAATGTATTTTCTAAATGTAATTAAAATTTGAAAAATTATTGTTTTGATTAAGCAGTTTTTAGCTTTTGCATATCTATTAATTGTTGTTCGTTATTTGGACTATTTTATTAGCAATAATTTGATAAAATGACCACAAATAAAAATAATTGTATTAATTTAATCATAGTTAAACACTTATTCTACATATTCTTTAAAACGTTCTTTCATAACTATATAATTATTAACATAATATTTATTTCTACCTACAGTTTCTAAAACCATATTTAATTATCAATTCTTTATATTATAAGATTTTGATATATAAATAACTTGGGATGTGTTTTAAATTTATTCTTACATTAATCAACTGACATGCATTTAATTTTGAATAATAATTTAAAATAACTAATTAAAATCACATTTAAATAATAAAAGTTTATAGACATTTAATATACTTGTTTGTCAACATGATACTTACATATGTTTTATCTCTCTTATTTTATAACTTTATTATTAATGCAAAATAAATTGGTAATATTTATAAATATAATAAAATTGTAAATCAGAAAATCTTTACTGAAATTTCATGACAGGTGTCTATAATTGTTATAGTATTTATAATAAAACCTATTATTTATAAGATACAAAATAAAATAATTATTTAAAACAATACTATAATCGTAATCTAAATTTTTAATTATCACATTGTGTAAAATTTATCATATATTTATCAATATTAAACTTATATTACATGTAGAAAAGTAAAAATTTGTACGTATAAAACGTTTAAAGATCGATAAACAAAAAAAAACAAAAAAAAACAAAAAAAAAACAAAAACAAAAAAAAACAAATGGAAAATTTAGAATTTATTTTACGGTTCAATCCATTTGAACTCCTTCTCTAATTCTTTTGCAACTGCTATACACAGATGATCGTTATTTGGAGCTGCCACAATCTGAAATAATTATTTTTAATATATATTTTCCTATTGATTATAATGAAATTAATAGCTAGCATACTTGAATTCCAATGGGTAAACCATTTTTATCTAGACCCATAGGTATTTGGCAAACTGGGACCTTCAATACATTAAAAACGGCCCAATATCCAAAACTAAATGGACTCAGGAATAGTGCACAATGATATTTTGCGGAATTAAATGAAGGATATATAAAAATGCCATTGTCTCCTAATTTTGCCTGTATCAAATGTGTATAAGATTAATACATTGTTTATAATGGGAGGGATAAAATTTTCAAAATGTTTACTCACTAATAAAGAAGTTTTCATTAGATTAGTCATACTTTTAGCCCATTCTTCATTTTCTTTGGGAAAAACATCAGAATCAAATAATTTTAATAAAGCTGCGAAAGTGATTTCACAATTTCCACTTAATATTTTACAAAATTCTATTTTAAAATTTGTACACCCCTATGTAAATAAGTAATTAATTGTTTAAAGAAAGGCTTCTAAACAAATAATATTATAAATACAAATTATTACATGACTACGTACGGTATTGTTTGTTAAATTTTCTTTGAAATTAATTTTTTCCTGGGTCATCCAATATCGCCATAGACGATAACTATATTCTGTGCCAGGCAAAGTCATCTAAAAGAACTAAAATTAAAATCTAAATTTGACAAAATTGTCGTTCAGTAATTTCATCTACCTTTGTCACAGATCCGCATAGTTCTTCTAAATACTTTGTTGCTTTTTTTAAAGCATTTTTGGTTTCAAAGCTAAGTTCGCTCGCTCGAATATCTCCGGAGCTCTCTTGATAGAAAACATTAATATTTTTCAAATTAATCGGAGTATTTAATGGCTTGTTTAATAGTGAACCTGACATAATTGTCATCAACAACTCTAAATCTTCAGCTCTCTTACACAATGGTCCTGCTTCTGCCATCGAATCTAGATGCTCTTCCTGTCTCATTCCTATGCCTTTTAACGAAGTCATACCTATAAATATTCATATTTATTTTTTACTTTCAATGGCACTTTAAATATCGAATAATAATATAAATAAATCGATCGATTGGTTACGTTAATTAAACTACCATAAATAGCATACCTTGACTTGGCTTTAATCCATAAATACCATTGTATGACGCTGGTATTCTAATGGAACCACCAATATCACTGCCAACTGCAAATGGAACACCACATGCAGAAACTATTGCGGCGTCTCCACCGCTACTTCCACCAACAGTTCTAGTCGTATTGTAAGGATTATTTGTTTGTCCATAAATTTTGTTTCTGCATTCTACCCACTGATTCAATTCTGGAATATTTGTTTTACCAATAATTATTGCCCCAGCTGTTTTAACATTTTTAATTACAGTAGCATCTTCCAACGAACGATGACCTTTTCGCCTCAATGTACCCATAGAATGAAGCAATCCTAAAAATAATTTTGATTATTAAATTTTAGTTTTTTATAGTAATTATATTCATAAAAAAAATTATAAATTCTACCTTTCGCTTCATTGCTTTCTTTAGTTGTAAAAGGTACTCCTAGCAGAGGCTTCGTTTTTTCCAATTCTGTTATATTATAATTTTCACTGTTTAAAAAGTTATCAACCTCCTTGGCTTGCTTAATTGCATCTTCGTATCTTTCTTCCACAATTGCATTTAATAATCCATTAACTTCTTTACATCGTTCGATAAACGTTTTAACCACTTCTTCTGAACTTATTTTTTTCTCTCTAATTAAAAAAAAAAAAAAAAAAAAAAAAAAAAAAAAAAAAAAAAAAAAAATTAATAAATCAAATATATAGACTTTGAAATAAGTTTATTATTACCTAATGTTTCGAGCTATTTGTATCGTACTTTGAAGTAATAAATTATTTTTAACAGGTGGAACTTTTTGTATTCTTTTATCATAATATAAACCAAAGAAAAATTCTACCAATACATCTATCAACAAATGTAATTGAATTAAAACTATTTTAGTAACTTCCAGGAATATTGTTTTCAACGTAGACAGCATTTTAGTAGGTTTATTTAACTATAAAAAGAAATTAATAATTAAAAATATATACACACAGAATCATTATGTTATTTATTTAAAAAAAAAAAATTCTAAAAGCAATTGGTGTACGTAAGACTAAAAAATCAACTATACAAGTTTTGCTTTTTATATATATATATATTACTATAAAATTATTAAAATTATACATAACCAAGTTTAATAAAATAAGTAATTTTTTACAAAGATAATATTTTAATACGAGAATATTAATTCTCGAATATTAATATTAAATATACGAATATTAATATTAAAATACATGAAAAGTTTTTTTATATGTGTTTAATGTTGCGGAATGATTAAAAATTTTACACAATTATTTAAGTTAAAAAAAACATGTTAACGACGTCCTACAATAAATAACTCGCGTTTATTTTTTAATCACGTATGTACAAATTAGTAATACGATAAAATTAAATGAATTGAAGAAAATATAAAACTTTGATAATTTTAATTTTTATAAAAAACAAAATAATATATAAGTATGTTAGACCTATAGGTTACGCGAATAATTAATTTTGCTCAATTAAATTAGTGAAATCGATGTTTCCTTAAATAGTTTATTGTAATTATCGACTATCAATTGATATGTATTCAAATTACGTATTTAGAAAACTATTTATATAATAAAGAAGTAAATGTAAAAGTACCGTTATGTTCAAGCTCTACGAGATAATTTCGCGACTTCTTACCGGCGATAGGATTATGACGTACTGGGGCTCTGAACAAATTCTAAGCGCTATATTTAAATAATTATTATTGCATCTTGAGATAAAAAAAAAAAAAAAGAAAATTAGTTTGTAAAGAGGACAATGTAACCTTAGAATGTTGAATAGTGATGAAAAGTAGTGAAACACAATTAATTATGCTCTACAATTTTCTTATACTTTGCCGTGTAATTTTAGTTTTTTGTTTTTACATTCTTTGTATTTTACATACGCTACGAGTATACCGAATTTCTTCTCCTTTTTATTTTTGTTTAATTTGCATTTGTAATTTGCTTTAGATTTGCATATTTACTAAACTTTACGAGCATAAGCAGCCGTGACAACTGCCGCATATTTTACGCATCACGCAATATTAAAATTATGTTTTTCTTTTTAAGTTGAATTTATTTGTTATTGTATTTAATCATCAAATTATGTATATTGGATAATTTATATTTGTGTCGATTAAACTAAAATGTAGAGTAAGATTGTACAAGTTAGACTTTAAGATGAAGATCAAATTTTAATTATTGCATCGAAAAAATTCTATTGATCATTATCGGCAAATATTAATGTTATATGTGGAATTAAAATTTAGAATAGTAATGATTTATAATCATAGAAAAATCATAAATGTCATGTACATTGTGAATAGAAACATTAAATGCTTTATTAAACGATATGGCAAATATAGAAGAAATAAATTTCATGCTATTACTCATTTATATCAAAATTAATCTTTTTACATTGCTTGAATAACGTAAAATTAATTTTTTTTTCCCCTTGCATTATTCGCGTTTCGAGTAATAATCAATATCATTTAATAATCAATTGTTCTTAATAAGCATCGCTAAAGAAAAATACATATGACTAAGCTTGTACTTTCAATATCAGTTAAAAAGAATATTTAAGTACAGTAAAATATCTGTAAAATAATAAGCGCCGATTTCTTTGTGTATTAATTTTTAATTATTTTCATGACATGATATTAATTGTTAATGCCAATAACGATTTAATCGAATCGTAATTATTTTAACATTCTCTTTGTAAGTAATTATAATGTATGTATTAGGGATTAATCAATATTTTATTTAAGGATATATTTTGAAGGTTCGGACACTTCCACAATAAAATCTTGAAATTAACACAATTAATGAAAATATGTGAATATTTTAATTGAATAATGTATTTTCTGACAATTATCTACTGTTTTCTATCAGCTTATTTATCGTTCGGAAAAGACAAATGATAATTTAAAATTTTAGTTCGAAGAAGAAAGGTTTATAATCACTTAAATTGAAGATATTCTGTCTAAATTATTATTGCATTTTTTTACTCAAAGATAAAATAATCCAACAATTATATATAATTTACTTAATAATTATATAATTCGAATAGATAGAGAGTATCAATAAATATTAATAATAATAATTTTTTTTTTTTATAAATTATTTGATTATTTTATAAAAAATTTTCATTAACTAAATTAATTTTAAATTTTTTTCATTTCAACATTGTATTAAAATTATTTATAAAATTTATATTGAATTTCTTAATAAAAAGTGAATTTTGTTTATTAATTTTTTTATTATGTGTTTAACACACTATGATAACATTTGCAGCAGCAATTGGGTTGTAGATAATTTTTTTGAACATTGTAACAAACATTCATCTGTTATAAATATTACCGAGTACTTATTGTGATACGAATGTAATTATTCCATTAACTGTAATGCATTAAGATAAGATTTGACATTGCTATTAGGTAAAATAAATATCTTTCCAACTTCTAATAGTACAAATGCTACTAAAGCTTTGCCGCTGTCTGAGAGCATTTTTATAGATTATTCGTTAAAAATCTTGCATTGATATAAAAAATAAAATTGCTGATCTTGTTACTTCTAACATTGAAACTATTAATAAAATGAAGTTATCCTTATCGTCATATTTATTAATTGAAGTAATATTTAATCAATTTATTCTTATTCTATGAATAATTTGGATGAAACACATACGTGATTGAAATTCAGAATTTTTCAGTATGATTAAATATTCAAAATATTAAAAAAAAAATATATATATATATATAATATAATATATATATATATATATATAACTTGTTAGAGATTGCTTGAAAAGATATTGTTTATTAAAATTACTTACACACTCAATGAATCATTAATTATACATTTTTATTAAATTTGATTGAATTTGATATACTAATATCAATCCCATAAAGTATATTTTCGATCGAGAAATTAACATTAATGATACTATATTCGGAACCATCAATTTCAATGAATAATTGCGAGCATAGCAACACCACAAAGTTATTACTTAAATTAAAAAAATTATACCAAGATATTTTAAAAAGACATATGTCTTATGAAAATAAGAATTAAAAGAATAAAATATATTTGCAAATATATTTGAAAATGTATGAATAATAATTAATCGATATTTTAGATGTATCCGATGTAATTTTTATTCATTTATAAAATTCAACAATAGTCTACATACTTATGAACAAAAACTGAAATGAATTTCTAAACGTTAATAGATTATAATATAAAGTGAATTAACGCTTAATCCAATTAGCTAATTATATGATGTTTCCATTAATGACAGAACATTATTGGTTTAACATAGTCTCTAATTATTAAATATGGATTACATCGCGCACGTTAACTTCATTTGTTTCTATCAATAATATATCATTTATCTTTTAAAGTTATTTTTTTCAATACATAGTCTACTCTTTCGATATTTGCTCTTCACATTCTGTTAATATTTATATAATCGAATGAACTTTTCGACTCGTATGAACCTACATATAATTAAACAAAATTTCAATAATGATGTTTTAAAGAATAGTAATATTTTTAAATTAAATCAAATTCATGTGTACAAACTGTTGTAAAATATAATAACTTTACAAAATAAAACAAATTAATAGATTAAATCGTCTTAGATGGCTTTATCTATAATTATTTGGATATTCTCGTATTTTGAAGATCGAAAGGGCGCTAAGTTGAAAACTTTTAATAAGATATTTCATGAAATGTTAATAATTTAAAATTTAGAAGCTAAAAGAATATTAAGCCAGATAATAAAAGATAATATAATAAGGTAATAATAACAAGCTATGAAGACTATCTTTGGACTTGTTAAATTATAAAAGATTCGTTTATGCTTATCGCCATATTTAAAAATCTAAAGTATTAAAGATTCGAAATTATTCAATATTTATATAATGTATATATGTTATGTAATTTATTTAAAAGATCATTATCTCGATGTAAAATTGCTCTTTCTTAATGTCAAATCGAAGAAAAAAATAATATAAAATTATTCCCATAATACACATTAAATTAATATTAATAATAATTTCAAATTATTATGCATAAAAGTGTTTTTATTGATATTTAAATATCAATAATAATTAACATCAATGAAATTGTCCTGTTGAAATAATAAATTTAATAGCAATAATCAGTGCATAAAATAAAAATGATGAATAAACAAATAGTGAAATATACTGATAAAGTCTCTCGTATGCTATCGCCTTGAAAGCTTACGAACAACTCTTTCACAATTTCTTTTCCAGCTCAAGATCAATACTTTATTAATCTTATCTCTATAATTTATGAATGTAACTAATTTTAATGTAGTATTACTTTACAAAGGGATTATATTTGAATTTTTATTACAACTGACTGAATATTGACATGTGCTTTTTAATTTATAATTAGTTATAATGGTCTATGGATAAGAATGATGTACATTACTTGAATGTAAATTACTGAAAAATTGATAATAAATATATATCTATTGTTATACTTCTCGATCATATTTGTTTAATAACGTATTTCTGTAATTATTAAATGCAAATGATTAATTTGGATTTCATAATAAAGATTAAAAAAGGCCTGATTATGCTCTGAACGGCATTCCACAAACAAGTTATTGGTTGAATTATAAAACCGATATGGTAGCGAAAAATTGTTGCGTATTCAAAACTTATTTGTGCTCACAAGATATATATGCGTGTGTGTGTGTGTGTGTGGATAATTTATAATTATTATTACATTATTGATATATTTATACATAGTCGTTGTGAAAACGTCAATATGCAATTTCTCGATACACAACATTGTTTCTCCGCTTTCAATTTATCTCAGTTCAGCAATAATTAATATTACCATTGATTGATAAATTGCGAAAGAATAATAATTATTGTTAATCATTATTTAATGAGAAAGAAATGTTTAACGTCGAAAAACAAATTGATATTAACTTTGTATTTAAATAAATAGCATACAAGATAATTTGAATGAGCTCTAACAATTAAAGATATCGAGGTTAAATATAAATATTGCCTGATAACAAAAAGTATCAATAATTTGTTAATTTCAAAAACTGGCAGATTGCAAAATGCAAGAGAAACGATGTTTCTCTAAATTCAACTTTCTAATGCATAATATGTGTCTGTATTCGTCTATTCAGGAAATCGTTGTTCAATTATTTCTAATTAACTATAGAAAGAAAAAAAGTATACAACAATTAAATTAGAAATATATTATGCATAATTTTTCGATGGAAAATGATATTTCATATAATTGCATTGTCATCGAGACATTTTTCACTTCATTAACATTAAAACCAATGATTATAAAATTCGAGAAACCGTTTAAAAATAGTTTACGCATGCGCCTAGTGCGTAAGAGAATTTTATCTTATATAATAATAAAAAACATTGCTTAAAGTTTAAATAAAATACAACGAGAATAAGCTAAAAATAGTTTTGGATGTAATTTTTTAAAAGTAAATTTTATAAATATCAAGTGCATAAAAGTTGCGCAATTGTATAAATTCTCAGACTGGCGTATATTATTATATTATATTGTTGTTATTATTTATGTACTGGCGATTCAAAGATTTCAATATGTAAAACGAATACGCTTATGTCGCCATCTGCCAGATAATTCTTGGACTTATTAAAAATCTGCTTTACAGACCGAGAAGAATACGAGAATGATTACCGATGATTCAGCGTAGAATCAAAATAGAAGTCATAAAATGTTTGTAATATGTTTTTCTTAATAATTTTTAGAAATGTAAGTAATTTTCATTAATTCCCTGTATTTTATGATAATCAATAATTTGCAGTTTACCTAAATGGTTGTATTTCAATAAATCGAAGTAACCAAACATCATCGACGTTCTTCTAAAACGGAATCACTAGCAATACTGTAAATTAAAGTTGATTATTGGGATTTACAAATAAATAAAGTTAATAACAGCCAAGAGACCAACAAATCATACAAGTAAAATTGTTACCTTGAAATTTCTTAGTAATTATCACAACGGGGGCCGAACAATCAGCCATGTCTGTCTCTCAGATGGAGAGTATCCTTTTTAAATTATAATAAACATTACTGCTTAAATATCAAATGACAATACGCACGTATTGTACAATAGTTAACATTTGTTTGATAATTTATCATATAAAATATTTATATTTTCTTTAATGTCTATTATATAGAAAATCTTTTTAATTTGAAATTTGCCGTTAAGGAATTAGAACGAAATTCAAAAAAATGTGAAAAAGAGGAGAAAGTTGAAAAGGCAAAAGTGAAAAAAGCAATTCAGAAAGGTAACATGGAGGGTGCAAAAATTCACGCGGAAAACGCAATTAGACAGAAAAATCAAGCTCTCAATTATTTAAGAATGAGTGCAAGAGTAGATGCAGTAGCGAGTAGAGTGCAAACCGCATTAACAACTCGAAAAGTTACACAATCCATGGCTGGTGTCGTGAAAGCTATGGATGCAGCTATGAAGTCTATGAACCTTGAAAAAATTTCCAGTTTAATGGATAAATTTGAAAGTCAATTTGAAGATTTAGATGTACAGAGCTCGTATATGGAAAATGCAATGTCGCAAACTACAACCACGTATGTTCCGCAAAATGAAGTTGATAATCTAATGCAACAAGTGGCAGACGAAGCTGGGTATGCGTCGATACTTTTTTTTTTTTAACAATTTTATTTAATAAGATTATATGAATAATGTAATTTTTTTAGTTTGGAGTTGAATATGGAACTTCCATCGGGACAATTAGGAAGTATAGGTGCCTCGACAGCTGCGAGTCAAGAACAAGATGAATTAACGCAACGATTGGCTAGACTCAGAGAATAAATACAAAGATTAAGAATTTATTGATGCTATACGTATTATAATTTATGTATATTTTAAATAATATTGGCAAATGTTACGGCTATCATCAATGCACTGCAGAACAAACACATTAATGCATATTAGTGTTTATAAATAATATTAAGTGAATAATTCATTCTAATCCAATAGTAGTATTTTTTAAAAAGTAATATAATATTTCTGACTTTTGCAATTCCAATATACATGCATATATATGTATATATATATATATATATATATATATATATATATATATATATATATATATATAAATCTATATTATAAAAATTATCAAAATCCATATTATAAAAATATTCCATTGGATTACAATGTTAGAAATAACTTGTAACTGTATTATCTAAAACATATAGTTTTCTTTTAAATGATTTTATTAATATAAAATTGTAAAAGTTAATGCTTTATTATAAAAGATTACACATCAATCTAATTTTTAAGTAGTTAGAAAAAAAAAAAATGAAAAAAATATTTCTTTGTAATTCAACAATTATTAACTTTTTGTTTATAGCTTAAAAAATGAGAATAAAACTATAATATTTTTAAATAATTAGTATTGTCAAATTAAATGCCAATGAATGTATTATTTATATTTTATTTAATGTTCAATATGATATTTGAACATACGAAACGGTGAAACTGAACTAAGAATTATGGAACTGAAACTGTCATGTGCATATATAAGGTTGTATTAAACAATAGTTGGTAGTGTGTGTCGCCTGCATTTTTACTTGTGATTCATTGTTAATTTACATTTAATTAGGTTTTAAATTTATGGTACTATCACGTAGTTCGTCGTATTATTAGTTTTATTATTAAAAAAAAAACCTATTTTGTAATAAAGGGGACAATTACAATCAATCTGGGCAGAATATTCTAATCATTAAAATGCCTTTATCTGGGGCAAATTATACAAAATTAAAAACGCATTTAAAATTGGCAATTAACAGATTTAAGCTTTTAGAAAAAAAGAAAACTGAATTAGCTCAAAAAGCCAGAAAAGAAATAGCTGATTATATTGCTGCTGGTAAAGTAGAAAGAGCAAAAATCAGGGTGGAGCACATCATAAGGGAAGATTATATGATCGAAGCATTTGAACTCCTGGAAATGTTTTGCGATCGTTTAGTCACACGTCTTGGTCTCATCGAACTAAAGAAGTACATTTTTACTACTTTATTTTCTATAATTAAGCGAATGTTGTAATTTTAGTACAAAAATTATGATTGTATAAATTACCTTTTTTTTTTTTATCTAATGTTAATTTGATGAATACTTACACTTTTAGTGGATTTGAGGAAGATGTCTTAGAAGCGATAACAACCATTATATGGGCAGCGCCGCACCTACAAAATGACGTACAGGAGTTGAAAGTTATATCGGATCTCTTAGCTTTAAAGTATGGAAAGAAATTTGTGGAGGAGTGTTTGGAAGGAAGAGCGATACCTTTTTCACAGAAAACAAAACACAAACTGAGTGTACAATCTCCATCAAAATTATTAGTAGAAAAATATCTCATCGAAATTGCAAAAATATATAATATTCGATACGAAGCGGATCCACAAGTTATGGCTGGGGGTCAAGACGTTTCGTTAATTGATATTGGAAATACTGGCCAAACACCAAATAATTTAGATCAAGCAAGCGGTGGTGTACCACAGCCCCCTGGATTTATAGGATTTCCACAGCTTCCAATGCCACCTAATAATAATGCTAATAGCTGTGATAAACCAATAGGTTTTACAGTACCAAGCTCATTCAGTTTATTAGACAAAGATGATAATAATCAATTTAATCCTGCAAAGTTTTCTTATAACATTCCTTTAGATAAATCCAACATAAATAATTCTGTACGTAATAGTCTTCAATATAAATTAAAATAATAATCAGTCGCTGCATATAATAATTTTGATATTATATTTAATTGTAGAAAGAAAATTTGCCGTCATCATATGGATCACTTCCACCAGATTTAAATAAACAAGTAAATACTTCATTTATACCGAGTTTAAACTATTCTTAATGTAGAATACTGTGAAAATTGCTTTTATTTAAAACTAATATATTAATTTTTTGCTAATATAAGTTTTTCCATCTACTAAAAAAATTTTTTACTAAATCGTGTTCAAATAATAAACTTTCAAATATATTTTTACATATCAATAACAATTGTGACAAGTCCTTTCATTGAACAAGTAAAAGTTTAAATTGTATGTATAAAAATTGAATGAAATTAATATTATCCCTTGGCATTACATAAATTTATAAAAATTTCCATATGCATAATTATAGAGAATCCTAATTTTTAAAAAATTACTTTGTTTCATTTAAAAATGTAAATAGTTAAAAACGAGGCCCTAAAAGCATTATAAACATTTTATTTTGTATATATTGCAAATAATTTTCTTTTTTATAGTCGGATGAACACCCAAAACCTCAGCCACGATCCAAAATACAAATGAACGATTTTAATTTGCCAGATTTACCTCCCGTTCCTTCAGATAACGAAAGGAAAGACGAGGCCGAAGAGATCGATTTCGATGATTTAATGATGCGATTTGAAAATCTAAAAAAATGGGACTAATTTGCTTATACCATATACTTTATATATTAGATTTTTTTTTACAAAATTTAACAATTCTTAGTTTAAATTGTTACTTTATAATTGTTAAATATATGCACTATAATACGATTGATAGTGCCATTGTTTACAAATGTAAAATAATGCTACAAACTTTGTATTTTTAATTTTTACATAAACTTTGTTAATCCATATATAGATCTTATGATCAAATATAACAAAATTATAATATACATTAAAAATTAATTTCTCATCTCTTGAGTGATGAGATTGCTTTTTTAAAATTAATTTTCATATATATTCGTCATCCCAATCCTCGCATTTCTAGAAATAAAATTTTTTTCTTCCAAATTTGATACTCTATTTTTTTTATATAAATTGGCAATTATTTTAACTTACCTCGCTACCTTTTTCGGCTAAGCATGACAACAAATTTTGCGAAAATTGACACTTTTCTTCACGATTAAAGTTGCTCAAATAATGATAACATTCAACCACGGATTCCTCTATGAAATCTTGTAAATAAGGATCATGAATATTTTGTGTCATTACTCCAATAACGGCCGATCTCTCTGGAAAACCGTTTTGATCGACCTGTTACATTATACTAGTGATTAGACTTATCGTCGTTACATTCTATTTATTTGATTCACTTACTATATTCAGTTCGTTGAAAAAGCATTGGATAATACACTGTAACAAATATTTAAATTTAAAACTAAAGCAGACCGATCTATGATGTTCTTAAATAAAGTTGTATATTGTGACATTATTCACTCGTTGTAATATGTAATAAGCAGTATTATTTACATTACATGTACGATAGAGAGAGAGAGAGAGAGAGAGAGAGAGCAATAAGGAATTTATATATTTTTTAAATCGTTTGAAATAAGTAAGTAGAGAAAAATATAATTAAAATATTGTTGCAAACTTCAAAGACTAATAAATTTTTTGCGTACTTTATTAATCCGTTTACGTATAAACTTTTTAATTCGCCATTAAGCGTATGCTGCACAAAGTTTTTTTATTAAAGATTTTGTTTTTAAAAACATTACGAAAATTTAGAGCGATCTATTTGTTGTTTACGAAAAAAAAAGTTAAATAATGTAATTTGAACCTAACGATATATCGTTCATTTTACATAAATAATCAATATCTTACGCCTTGTTCTTTATAATTGCTATGATTATTATCTCTTGTATAGTAACTATTATTGTTATTGCGATTCATATTACTATTGTTGATATTATTATATTTATTCGAATAATTATGACCAAAGTCTCGGGGATAAAATTGACTATTCCTTATGTTTCTCTTGTTAAAATACAGTCGGCTATTATAATTGTATGATGACTTGTTATTGTTCATATCAATGGACGAGTAAGATTTATTACGATTTGCGGATTGGGGTGTTACATTTTTGGATGAACCAAAATAATCATATCTGTTACCGCTACCCACTTTATCGTTTTTATTATATCGATCTCGGCCAGAACTCAAAAATCTATCGTCGAATAAATTTTCGTCAGAATTAGAATCTGATGTTTCCTGGGAGTCAGTATCACGGCGATTGTAGTCCTGATTGTTTTCACTGTCGAGGTTGAGAGAGCGTTTTTGGCAAGCTTGTATAATTTTTCGAAATTGATCATCGTTTTGTTGATTGCCGGTGCGACATTTCAAACTCTATGAAATAATAATGGATTTTCTTGGTTAATATTATTTTTAAAACTCCAAAGATTTTTATTGTATCGTATACTCGTAATTTTTAGAGAAATATTAATGTGAGATATTGTATAATCTAAAATTTTACATATTTTTATTCGCAACGGCCATAGAAATGTTTTCGACCACATGTGAAAATTTAACTGCATGATCTATTCTATTATATAGTCAGAATCATTAATGTCAACGTTAAAAGAGCAATCTTTTTTAATATACTTTAAGGAACTTTAAAGATATAAAGATTTATAAAGATTGTATATTGTTTAATAGTAGGTAGTTTTTAAGTGGAATTGTCACTTTTATGATGTTATTTAACCACAATATTTATCTATCACGCTCTACTTTAACATTTTGTATTTTAATTGATAAAAGTCATTAATGTTCATTAGCATTAATGAAAATATTATATTATAATTTTTGATAAAAAGCACGCTAAAGTAGAAATAAAAAAAAAGATTATTAAAACTATTATTTCGAAACGATTATAATTAATAAAATATATGTAATTAAAGCGTTTATTTTGAAATGAATAAATTTACGTTTTTAAATTGAAACAATTATTTGAAATTACTTTTTCTCATACAAGGCAAATATTAGTTAGAAGCGGTATTACGATAGCAGTACGTACGATCGGTAAGTAGTCTTATCAATTACTTATTTATATAAAATAGCTATTTGCAAGTATTTTAATGTAAAAATTCCTAACAAATAAATTACAAAAAATATTATTCAATTTCGATATATAATGTAATCAATTATAATACATTCAAGGCAATTCAACGACTATATTTAATGACGTTCTAAAATTTTATATATCCTTACTCGATAAATAAATATTTGTCTTTTAAACAATCTTCAAGCTGATAGAACATTGATAAGATATATCTGTCTTTCAAATGCCCTCGTTTTGCATTTTGATATGATTTCTTTGTATTTAGAATATTGTTAATATTATTTTATTGATATTTCCAAACTAGAGTTTTGATATGTGCGAATGATATATTGAATTTAAAAATTCTTGCTTATGTTATTTTTTAATGCACTTAAATGTTATTACACGTAATAATATTTTACTTATATATTTTAATTTATAATATTAAATAAAATATTGCAAATTATCATATTAAATTGGAGTCGTTGTTTTATCAACATATTTTAATAAATTTCTTATTTATTAAAGAATGATAAAGAGTATTTATGAAATACATATTTATTAAGGGGGAAAAGTTAATAAGAAGCGAAAAGTATGTTTGAAAGTAAAAAATATAATTCACATTACTTTTTGTACTTTTTAATGTTAACGAGTAATATTATCCCAATTCACTGGATTTATAAAATTATATTATATATTAAAGATTGAAGATAATAATATATCATGCTAAAAATCATTTATTTTAAGCAATATGTAGCTGAAATATTTTGTAAAATTTACCAGAGCTCGGTGCGGAGATGAAGATAAAACGAAGTAAAATAGTAGAGTCGATACAAATTGCCTCATGATCAATAAAATTGCTCAGCATAAAAAATAAAAGAACACAAAATTTGGTAAAATCAACTACTGATTATTTAGAGCTGTGCGCACTCTTTTATATGCATCGTTGAATAGCACCAAAGCCATCAATGTGTCATGTTTCCGGAATTATCATTTCAGTAAAGAATCCTTTAGATCAGAAAACGAATTAAACTGACAACTCTGACAAAAGTCATTGTATTTTTCTTTGTCAAGCTCAATGCTATTCTCATCAGTGCATTTGAGAAAAGTGCTCATCCTGTTCATTTATTTATTAAAGTTGATTACTTCAATTCGATTCTTTCAAAATTTAAATTACTATTACTATTTGTTTGTAAAATATTAGGCGGTGATATTTACGAATAAGAGAAAGCGGTAAATATAAATGTCAAAGATTTCACTGATATTATTTCTTATCACAGTGGATATAATATTTATAGGTAATATCGTGTGCATTGGTTTACGTAAACTTTTGGATTTCTCTACCACATTGCTTATATATTTTGTATTTTGTATTTTGTATAAAGTGCCGGTGAAAATTTTTAAATTAAACGAACGAGCTTCAATACTTAAAATAAGAAGAAACAAAACAAAAAACTGACTCTTTACCTAGCTCAACTATTAAAGAAGAATTCTAATTATTTGATTGCGTCGCGACGTTTTTAATAAATTTTATTTATTTAATTTCAATGCTGCTATAAGAATATTCCGTAAGGAAATAAATTACCGATCCTTTATTTTAAAAATGTTAAGAAAAGATTTGTAGAGGGGAAGAAAGGACAGGTACGGAGTAACCGCTCAGTCGTGAATATCAAAGAACAGAGGCGGCCAGTTCAGTTTTAATCGAGCCATTCGACCGAAAAGACGATGCATTCAAGCTTAATTGTAAGTAAAATAGTTATATTATTTAAAAACAAAAACAGAAAGCTTCCCGAAATTCTTTGAATTGTTCCGTACGTTGCTCCATGTACGCTTGCACGTGAGAATTAAGCTCGTCAAAAGTCGTCACAACCGACGCACACTTACTAAGCTTACTAAGGCTCTAAGATTATGACAAATTTGACATTATTAAGAAAAATTAGAGGTACAGCAACGATTATAAATCTTCATTCGATTATTTAAAAATGTAAAAATCTTAAAATCTTAGCCCAAACGTTGCACACTTATTTAAATGCGAAGCTTTCACTTGGCATTACAAAAAACGTTAGAGTCCAACAGTTATGTAGGCTTTATTGGTCTCGCTTGATCGCCGTCAAATTTATCTTCTAGACTCTGTACGCTTAGATCAATGTAATCCGGATCGCGGGGGCAAAAGTTTTTATTCCCATTCTTACTTTTTTTACGAAAGTTGCAAAAAGTGTCGAGCACACCTTTGGCTCTCGCGGGCCTACGATTTTCCAGCCAATAATCTTTTATCGATGTGTGCCTCTTTCTTTTCGAGCTGCTGCTCGCGCAGTGTATACACGGAAACTTTTTGTTGGTGAAGTCGACCCAAGACCAACTGCTGTATACGCCCCAGGACTACCAGAACATAAACGAACTTTTGCCTCAACGCCAAAAAAATTCGTATGCCTCGTACTATTCGCCGGTGGCGAGTAAGAGGAATGACTTCATTGCCAATGCCGATGAGACAATTGACAAGTTGCCCATGGAAAGCAAAGTTTATCCAAAAAGAGCCTTACTTATACAACAAATTCCGAAGAAAAAAATAGGTGCCAGATACCTGTCAAGGTATTTGGAGCCTCCATCGTCCGAATCTGTCTCAAATTATGCGAAATATCATGGTTATTTAATGAATCTGGAAAACGAGGAGCGACTGAATTATTTCCCTCGAAACCATCGACCCGATATTGCCATCGAAGATGAACATAAAAAGATAATCCCGAAGCAAGGACCCTTTTATATAAGAGATCATGCCCCATTACAGCAGGCCGAATCAGAATCTGAGGTATACAATTGGTCGATTTACTTTCGTAAATTCGTAATTTTCTTTGACAACTAAGTTGATTCAAATAAATGAATCTTATAAATAAATAATATTTTTATTGCGGTATTATGATGCACTAAACAGTCATTTGAGTAACAAAAATAAATACACATGGATTCTATGAATAGAAAATCTATCAATTATATAATTGAATAAATTTATTTCTATTACGTGCTTAATGATAATTTATTATTAATAATATATATAATTATAGTGTAATTATTGCAAATATTAATTTGTACAGCTAGTGAATATGCATATTATTTTAAATGTTTATCTGCCAACTGCACTATGATATTTAAAATATTGTTTGCCCTATATAGAAAGCATAGACTTAATTAACATTAACGAATTAATTTAAACTATTTTTCAATCAATAAAGTTTCAATGACTAATTTTTAATCCTTGAAATTGACAACCTCATTTATAACTTGAAATTAAAATTAATTACGGATAAATTAATTAGCAATAGCTTTTAGCACTAGTTTATCTTTATTTTTTATTTTTTATTTTTATAGTAGTAATCGATATCAATATTATCATAAAAATATTACTTTTGCAATTAATTAATATAAAATAATAGATAAATATAGAAAAATCTATAATGCCTATATATATATATATATATATATATATATATATATCTTTTTAAAAATATCCGTCTTTCTATCACTTATCACTTGATATGCTCTAAATAATGTTCAACACTGATTGTAAATACTTCAAGAACTTCAAATAATCCATTAAAAATTAAATTGCTATTTGCTAATCTACATTATAAATAGAAGTATATTTTTTAGCAAATTTCTGAAAGTAAGCCTATAGCAAATAAATCGTTAAATAAAAAATCAGCTGGAACGTTGGAATTATCAGCCGATGGTGATAGAATAGAATTTCAAATTCAAGGACACGAGGGTCCAAAAACGTACATATTTGGCTTTGACACCGGCGATGGGTAAGCGAATTTTGTTTTAATTTGTATATCTAAATATGTTAAATATTTTTAACTACGATGTAATACACTTGCAGAAAAAATCGTCAATTTAGATTAGAAGAACGATTAAAAGATGGAACGGTTAAAGGACATTATGGATATTATGATGCTAGAGGGAAATTAAGAGCAATAAAATATTTAGCCCGTCCTTTCGAAGGATATGAAGAGAAACATCATGAACTAAGCGACATTACATATAAAGACTTAAACAATTTGTAATACATAAAAATTAAAACAATTGAATTGAATTTAAACGGTTATTTACTGTAACAATAACAATTTTTATGTCAGATAAAGTAAAAATTCATCGCAAAAAATACAGTAAATCTTATATTCGCAAAAATTATACATACAGAATCTTTCTTAAAAAAAAATACGTAAAAAAAATATTCACATTTTCTTTTAGTTGTAATAATATAAATGAATGCAATAACAAATGTTTGTTACATAATTATTGTATAAAGTCTCACTAGCACTTGAAGTAATAAAAAAAAATCACTTTCGCATGTAATTTATTTTGCACAATTCTAAGAAACGAGTGGATTTTTCTTATTTTACTTTTTTTATATCTGCAGCTCCGTATGAAGAACTCTTACTTATTTCAGACATTCCAATAGTTTTATACATTAATAAGAAAACTGCAAAACAAAAATTTCATTACAATAATGTCGTCTTAAAAGAAATTGTGATAAAATATTATACTTGCATAAAACTATAATTCCAACTCCTATAGAAAAGTACATTGTCGAACCTGACAAAAATAATTTAATAAGATAATACAGCATTGGTACAAGAACAACAATCGCCCAAAACGTAGTATTAATAAGAGACCAAACTCGTCGTTTTAATGTAAATGAATCTGTTCTAGGCACACCACTTGTTTCGAAAAAGTCTCCAGTTTGAATGAAACTCTCTGCCATTTGATCCTTTGAAATATATTCTTATTATTATTAGGATCGATTGGAGGTTTGAAAAGTTTTGAAAATTTTGGAAAAAAAAAGACGAAAAGTACCTTAACTTGATAAAGTTCATGTAACCATTGTGCTGCAGCTTCGTCGCCTTCCGGTACTGTATCAAGAGGTATTCTATTTATGTACATGTGTGCTACAACCTTCTTTCCAAGCAAAAGATTTGTCATGGTAGGTTTAATAGGATCGGATGGCTTAAAAGCTAATTGAATATTATATATTGCTCCAACTTTGCCTCTTAAATTTGGAATACTGGCTGTAAATCCTCTTGTTCGAGGTGTCAAATGATGTTTTAATATTGGTAAGCCCCTTTCTTTAGCAAACTGTTGACTAGCTTCAGCTTTTTCGGGTGTGAAACGTGTGCCTTCTGCATAAAGTAAGAGCTAAAAAAATTTATTCATGATCTTCATATCGAGTTCTCAATAGAAAATGCTTTCAAGGCAATTTACTTACCCACATAGTGTCCGGATAATCGGTTAATTCTCTAATTTGCAGACTAATAATTTCTTTATCTTTGTCCCAACTCCGTTCTAAGAAAATGCTTTCAGCAAATCGCCATGCCCAGCCAAGAGTGGGAATGTACTTAATAGATTTTTTGGCATAAGCTTTACAATTCTAAAATAATAATTACGATTACATAAGTGCGTGGACTATTTTCTTACACTATTTGAATTTCAGCACTTACTCCAAGCATACAAATTCGCTCGCAAAATATCCAACCGATCAACCAATCAATTTCATAACTGTGATTCATTATAAGGTAACCATGTTCGTTTCCATAATACTTATCAAAATCTTTTTTATCAATATACATTATAATATCTGTTCCTGACCACCATTCTGCCATAAATACCAATTCTAATAAAATTAAATATTACAATTGGAAACATAAACCATACAATGTTAAAGAGATATATTTAACTTTAATATTTAATTTACTTACGACTGTAGAACGAATAGCAAAGATAATAATTTAGTTTTCGGTATAAATATTTTGAAAAAGGTTTCAATCCAAAATATAATATACATTGGAAGAAATTTATTATTAAGCCAGACGTAAAGAAGGTAATGGCAAACATAAGATGGGCTATACGAGAACATTTTAAGGATGCTAAAAATTCCATTGTTGTATTTTGAACTTATACCTGTGCGTAATAGCAAAAAAGTTGATGCGCCTGTTTAATCTGAAATAGTTGATAATTATTTCACAATATATAGATTAAGAAACATAAATATTTTAGTTATATAACTTAAAGAATAGGCCGAATAATCTGTTTAATAATTAAGAAGAAAAAAATAAAGTAACGATAAGGACATGTTATATGTGAATTAAATGATAAGAATAGAATTTACGAAATGTATGGTAAAAATTTCTAATATTTCGAGTCGATTAAATAAATATGAAGAAAAATTGCATGATAATTAATATATTAAGGTTATGAATAAAATAATTATTTTACATATGCACACACACACACACACACGCATATGTGTGTGTGTGTGTGTGTGTGTGTGTATATATAATTTCATACATGTACATGCAATTACATTAATATTATTGATATATACTTGCAGCTTTATGTAGTTATTCTGAACTCTATTACTTTAAACGAGCAGTTAATTATAATGTTCAAAGGTCATACATAAAGGCAATTAAACAAACAGTAGAGTAATATCATTGTTGGTAAGATATTTATTTTTATACAAGTATTGTATGTACGTTCCTTGATAAAATTATACGGATTGAAAAATTCATAACAAAGTTGATATCTTTTTATGCAGTTATATAAATCTTTTTAAAAACGAAATATTTAATTTCCTTAACAGTATATTGTCACATTATTAAATAAAAGTTATTGTAATGAAAAGATAAAATTCTTTTCATAGGCAATATTCAATTATTTATTTAAAACGTTAATAATAAATTAAGTATCATGCTTACCATCAATGCAGGCACCAATTAAAATTAATAAAATTCCACTGCGATATAATTTTTAATTACTTTTCAACAATAAAATGTATAAAAAAAATATTTCTAAACAAATAAATAAATGAAGGATAACTAAAATAAATGATGTATGAATGTATGAATAATTTTTCCCTTCGTCATTTACTCGTATTATGTATTAATTTCATTGCGATAAAAGTAAAGAAAAATAAAATAAATCGTAATATCAATACCTGTTAAAGCATTTTGATCGAAAATGTGTACCTAACCGTTGTATTGCTTTCTTTTTATATCAATGCATTATAGGCGCAAAGTATGTGTCAGGAAGCTGATGTGCGACTTAACATGAAAAAAAGGACATAACGTGACTACTATAATCGACAAAGTGGATTTCACCATTCGCTCGCTGCTCTCGAACAACTAAATTACCAAATTACAAGAAATTCATGAATGCAAATGCACAACTTTCGGAATGGATATTTGATTTTTGTCACATTACAAAATATACACAAAGTCTTGCTTATATATATATATATATATATTTTTTTTTTTTTTACAATTGCGTGCTACTTAGCACATGCGCAGTTACATTATCGTAGATTGTATTTTTTTTTGAATATTGGCCGCAAGCGAGTGACACCACGCTGACGTAATTTAATGCTTATTTATAATCTTCGTAACTATGCAGTATTGTTGTTTTATTTACGTCATTTACGTCATTTACGTCAACGGTTGTCCTTAAAAAAGAATAAAGTAAGATGCGTTAGATGACAATCGTATAAATTTCACGAATGCAATTGCAAGCTCAATCGAAAGAACTCTTATTTTCATGCAACAGAATACAAGGATTAGAAGTACGTAAGTGCGCTGGAAAGTGAGCGCGCACGTGCCCTTAACACAACAGACGCGAGCTCTGTATTTCCCTTCCGATGATGACAAATACTTACGACCACTGCTTATGTGGGCGAGCACGACCAATACACGCGAGTCCGATCGCACACCGATATGACACCGAATGCGTGGTAATGTGGCATTGGGGCGAAAAGGAGGGGACAGAGAGAGAACCGTCTGAGCAAAGAAGGAACGTATCTACGGAGTACTGCTGGGTTTCAGCTTTCAGTATCCAATGTGTCTATGTCAGCCGCTTTGCCTCAACTTGCTTATAATAATAGCCAATCGCCATTTACTCCGACACACCCTTTAAATGTACATTTTTCTGTCGAATCACGAATGGACCAAGTACATAAGCTTAACGAGCCTAATATAAAGTGATCGTGGCATTATTGTTGGATCGATCGGTATAGCTTCCATTTGATTTTCATACTCCTGGTTGCGTGGAAATCGTCGCTTGACGACGACGGTGAACGGTGTCATGGTAAGCCACTTATGCTTTTTACATATTAACTTCGTTAGCCCCGATTGCCCGAAGAAGGAAGTTTTTCGGAATTTTCAGAACTGCTGTATAGTACCGCTGTGCTTCGAAGCCCACTCGATGCATCTATTTTTAAACACTCATCGCTTCTATTATTCGATGAATAACAAAAATGCACTTAACCTATTTGCTTCGATCTGTCAAAATGGCGCTTATACAAGATCTAACTCTTGCTTTGTTATGATACTGCTTTGAAGAAATTGAGCGTGCGATATCTCACTTAATATTACTCGTTTTTAGACGGAACAACAAATGGACTGCGCTTTAGACTTAATGCGCAGATTACCACCTCAGCAGATCGAGAAGAACCTCAGTGATCTTATCGACTTGGTCCCATTACTGTGCGAAGACCTACTTTCATCGGTTGATCAACCTTTAAAAATAGCAAAAGATAAGGAATCGGGACAAGATTATCTTCTCTGCGATTATAATCGAGATGGCGACTCTTACAGGTAATATCTTTGGCATTTTTATCGTCTCGTTTGCTTTGCAATCTCATTGAAAAGATTGAAAATACTCGTTTTTGTCACTTGTCTCTTACTGTTTATTAAGGTCACCGTGGAGCAATACTTACGACCCTCCTCTGGAGGATGGTTCGATGCCTTCGGAAAGGTTAAGAAAATTGGAAATCGATGCCAATCAAGCGTTCGATCAATATCGAGAATTATATTTTGAAGGTGGCGTGTCGTCCGTTTACTTGTGGGACTTGGATCAAGGATTCGCTGGTGTTATATTAATTAAAAAGGCCGGAGATGGATCGAAAAAAATTAAAGGATGCTGGGACTCTATACACGTTGTTGAAGTACAATATAAATCGCATAGCAGATTTGCCCATTATAAACTTACTTCCACCGCAATGCTTTGGTTACAAACTAATAAGTCCGGTTCGGGCACAATGAATCTTGGTGGGAGTCTTACAAGACAGGTTTGTACTTACCAGTGGCTTGTACCCCAATGGCTATTATTGATTTATGTAGGATACTGATTAATATTACATGCTTAGGTCGAAACGGATGCTCTTGTAAGCGAAACATCTCCTCATATTGCAAATATTGGCCGTATGGTGGAGGATATGGAGAACAAAATTCGTAATACATTAAATGAAATTTACTTTGGTAAAACTAAGGACATTGTCAATGGTTTGAGATCCGTTCAACCATTAGCCGATCAAAGGCAACAAGCAGCCTTACGACAAGACTTAGCGGCGGCATTACAAAGGCGAAATGCAAACAATTGATCTCAAGAAGAGCAAGAGAATTTTGATTACGATTGTGATTAGAAAAACAGAAAGAAAAGATACAAATTAAGTACGACCTGCATCTTACACATTAAACTGCTGACATTGTTATTACGTCTAGAGATAAAGAAAACAAGGTGTCTATTATTGAGCTACTGAAGGTACTCGAAACATCGGTCATTTCTTGAAAAACAGAAGTTCAAGTACTGGCCCCGACATCACGGTCGAAAAGTAGTTAGCCGATGTATGTCTATTAATAAAACGCATTTTGTTACAAAATTCTATAGAGGAGGTTTGGTCTGTTTTTGTAAATGATTAACATGCTGAATCATATTTTTTAATCAAGTTAACAAATAACGCTTTTTCCATAAAATCCCTTACTTTATTATTTAATTTTTTTTTTTTTTTTTTTTTTTTTATTCTTTTTTTAATTATTAATATTAAATTACAAAAAATTTCAAAGTATGATCTTTTTGTTTAAGACCAAATAGGAATACTTTGAAAGTTTTATACATTTACAAACTTAAAGGTATGTTTTTATTTTGATTTACGAAAAAACTAAGAATTACATGTGTAAAAAGAAAGCTTCGAGATATATTTATGCGAAAATAATATTTGTTGATTTTTTAAACTGCATTGTTTTAAACAGTATTTGATAAATATCTAAAGTAAATTTTTTAGCAATCGACTTGGGAAGAAACGACGTCGTATAATTACGTTTATTATGTATCATTATTTTTCTTAGGGTGTAAATTAATAATAATGTTTATTGAATTCAAATTAAACTATAAATTCACTTAAAATTTTATTTTAAACTTTTAAGATGAATTTCCATTTTTAATTGAAAGAAGCAAATATAAAACTTTGTAATTCAGTATGATAAAAAGCTAACTTTTTTTCTTTTTTTTTTAATTTGAATGGTTCTCTCACTTTTTTCATCATTGATTTTTGTGTCTTTAAAGAGAATCTATCCTGTTCTAACAAAAATGTTATTTGTTGTAATATCCATTGTAATGGAATGACACTGTATTTGAATTATAGCTTATATATATATATATATATATATATATATATAATTTGCTTAAAATTGTAAAATATTATATTGGTTTTCTGGTACATGGCATTTGTTAATTCAATTATGTTATATTAAAAATATTTATCTAAAACTGAATGAATTCAATTTTAATTTGCTCATAATGGGTTTTTTTTCCATCGACATCTCAATTAAAAATTACATGCGCGTCGTTGTAATTCAATTTCAATTGTCATTTATTAAATATTATTTGAACATTCAAATGTATCCTACGTTATACTTTATGTAGGTATGATCGCTGGTGCCACCTATTTCTTAATGAAGAATTTAATCGTTGTCATTTTTATTAACAAAATTTTTAATTGCCAAGAGCAAAGAATCGGCCTCATTGACAGACTAAATCGATCGTCCGAGCTTTGGCCGGCCAACTCACGATTTTGACATTGATTCAAATTCTTCTGCCCGACAATTGTTTTATTCCGTTAATATTCTTAAATCCATCGTTACTTCTAATAATAAATTATAACAATTCCTTACCGAAGCATGCACAATTATTCATATTCAGTTAATACTGATAAAATAAAATCTATTGCTGAAAAACGATACTTTCTTATCTTATCTTTTTTTTCTTTTTGACACAAAAGAAAGTATCATTATTGATAACTCAAATTGTTTATATTGTCATAATAATAAATGATTTTAATTATTACACTTTGTTTTTTATAATTTGATCATTTACGATATGCTATCCCCATATCTTTCTTATCTAAATCGTACAAGGCCTTTTCGTTACTTCGTATCTGATAACAAAAAGGTAATACAACTATATATACTCGACAAGCGAGGTAGCACCACAATCTCATTTTTCGTAAAATGTCTCATATTTTTTAGCCATTACAGAAAAGGAAAAAACAGTAAGGGTTGCTATATATTTTAGTAACATGACTTAAAAGTTTGAGCATTGCGATTCTCATGTTCTCTCGACTTTTGAGGAAATATGCTCCCGCAACAAAGCGTTCACACGGCAATTTCTGTGCCACACCATATTGGTATCGCACAATTTAACTTTTCTATAATATAGTCGCAAACCAAGTAAGACTTATACGATTTTGGTTCGATATAGCACACGCGTAGTACAAACACCATTATTTTCATTTTCATATTCATATTCATATTCATATTCATATTTGGTACTTCTTTTTTTAACGTTACATACTTAGTTGATGTTTCAGACACTAGCAATAAATATCCTTTTATAGGAATATAAATTTCAAACGAAATTTTGAATGAATTTTTTTTTTCTTTTTCTTGTCTGTTTTTCTTCTATTTTTTTTTTCGTTTCTTTTTTTGTTCTTTTTTTTTTTTTTTTGTTTGTTTAATTTTTTTGAACAGTAACCAAAATTGAAAATTTAACTAAAAAACGAATAATCTATATACATTCTTGTCTATTTAATGGAAAATAAAAAGCCGTTTTATACAGTCATATATAGCACTTATGTAGCTTGAATTTACGCATACTATTGTAAAAATAAGGTTGCTTCTTCCCGTCATTCGTGAGCTTTGTTTTTGTATTTTGTCATGAAAATTCATATTTTATGTTAGACCATACCTTACGGAACAATTTTTTTGTTTCTTATAGTATTTAACGAAAAGACAAAATTATAAACAGAATATTCATGTGGAGGTTTTAAAATGCACATCTGTCGTTAAAGCGTAATTTTTTTTTATTTTTATCTCTACTTTAATGTATAGTGGAGGCACCTTAATATTCTTAAGTAGTTCTTTAAAAAATAAATTATATACATTATTAAAAATGTATTATTATGCTTAGTAAATTACAAGTATTTAAACAAATTTTAATGCTCCTTCATTTTATTATGCAGAAACACTAGACAATTGAAAATATTAGTTATAACATACTTTTTTTATCAAGCACTTAAAGTAATCGTTTAGAAAATGTAAAATACTAAATAATGTATCGAGCCTTATTCCTGCATTATGAAATGTTAAATGCTATTAAAAGTAAACAATAAAAAAATGCTATCTAGAGAAATCGAAGAATGAAAACAGACAAATAACGTTTGTCGTAAGGAAGCATTTACTACAATGTCTTTTCATTGCCTTTATTTTATTGTTTTTTTCCCACTTTTTTTTTTTTATTTTTTTTTTTATTATTTTTTGTTTACAAATGTACGGCATGTATACATTTTTAATACATCTGCAACTATGAAAACTTTCATTTAACTTTATAATTATTTATTAGATTTCTTATTGAGCATAGGCCAAAGGATCAGATTTGAAGGACATATTCAGACAATTAGTTTTTATTACAAAAACTTAGAATCACTTTTTTTTCTGTTTGTTTGGTTTTTTTTTTTTTTTTTTTTTTTTTTTTTTTTACAATCATGCTATAATTAAGTCCTCTGGCATTTTTGTCTTATAATTTACAACACTGATGTACAATGAATCACTTTCAGTGTTGATTGATAATTTTAGTGCATAATATTGTTCATTGTCTGAAAGTGAAAATACCAAGACAATTTTCTTCAATATTAATAGCATTGAGTCACTTTATTAGAAAGATCATTAAAAAAAAAAACTCTTGTTACTTATTACAGGTGCTAATGATTCAAGGTTATGGACTTTATCTATGAATGCAAATTTACTTTAATCATAGCAAAGGTAATTTACGGAACAAAATAATTCATCTTCGTTCGATGAAAAACGTGTCGATTTTCAAATATATAAAAAAAAAAAAAAATTGTTCCGTTTGGTAGTCGACACAATTATTTTTGGTCTTAATTAGTCATAAGCATCTGTCTTAATGTGTAATAATAAATTATAAATTTATCACTGTAAAGCCAAAAATATTTTGTTTTAAATTTATTAACAGTATGAAATTAACAAAAAGAAAAAAAGATGAATGTGTAAAGGCTTTCTCCAATTTTATTTTCATTCAACTCTTCAATGAAAAGTTGTCGCCATATCTTTTGTATAACAAACAACGTGTTTTTTTGTGTGTAGTTTCTAAAACTGGGATGCACACTTGATTTTTTATTCTCGTAAACCCAGCCCCCACTTACAATGCTTAGAAACTTTAACGTTATGAGTTTTTGTTTTTTCTTTCAGATAATAGTAAGAAAGTAAGTAGGTATTACTTTGATAAAAAGATGCTTTTACTCCACTGTCGAGTTACCGCTGGTTGAAATTGTTGACTCTTTTTTCCTTTTTTTACCAATGATAAGGTGTCGATTGGTTAAATAGGTATCGAGATTGGTGTACTGTTCAAATTGAACACAATTATTTGTCGAGGGCAGTGTTGGTTTTGATAGCAATTACTACTTCCTCGTTACAGGCTTTTAGCACTGTGCACTGTAATGAAATAAGTAAATGAAAAACCTTAGGTCTTTATAAAGTGTTTTAAAGAAAGGTGGAGCGTAGAATCTCCTTTAATTCACTTACGAGCAATTCTTTTCCAGCATCGTAATCGGCACGAAGTTGAGTGCCTAATTCACCATCGGGTATTTTGAGATCTTCACGTAAATCCCCGTTATCAGCCATCAAACACAGATATCCGTCGTCAGATATATCCGTTAACTATTTCAAGATTAAATCACCTATTACATTAGCCGCTTGGCAACGCTCGTTAGTACAACAGAGCCAAACTCATCCACGTACCTGATAATCCTCTCGCTTAACAAACGGTACATCCATATTATGCGTGGAAGGGCAAATATCTTCGTACTTCTTGGAGGAAAATATGTCGATGCCAACGAGGTGAACCTTGGCATGACCGTGTTTTCCAGTTTTAGAAGTGGACATTTCCACGATCTTGCAAGGTCTAGACTTTAGCATGACAAAACCATTCTTACGCAGTGCTGAGCATTGCATCGGGTATGTAACAGAAGCACCAGAGTCTCCGGTCTCAAAATGAGTATCTTCGATATCTGCCATGTTTGATTTCGGTAACTCTGTCAGAAAAAAGAAGAAAAAAAAAGAGGATAGATTACGAGTGGAACAATAAGCACAACACCGGCTTCGAGGGGCCGAACGTAGCGAGCGAGCCACAACTGTCTGTCTTTAACTGCTTCGCACCGATGACAAGGACGTGCAGCGCGAGACGATAATCAAATAAAGGAAAAACAAAAACGGATATAGCACGGTAGGCCTCACGTTTCACAATGTAGGCTCATTATCTCACATAATGAATAGTTCAGAATAGGGACAAGGAGGCGACGAGTCCCGAGTCGCGGTACAATTGACCATGTGGCACAGAGGCGAGAAACACGCCAATGCCGTAGGGGTGGGGTGGGAGGAGGAGAGACGTCGGACAGCTTTCTATCATCTATCGCAAATTAATGGGGCAGCAGGTGAGAGGAATCGGCCGTGTGCGGCCTGGTCTTCCTTATGGCCGCGAGCACGTTGGAAACACGGCCGGGCCTCGTGGGATATCGGCTCGAGGGTGCGGCTGCGAGGGCAGCGACGAACTAACCAAAGAATCTTACGCGCGGCGTGTTCCCTCTCACCTCTGACTTGGGGGAGCGGCGCGACGCGGCGGCCAACGACCCTGAGGCTAGACGGACCACGTCGCAGACGGTGAAACGAACGTGGCCGCGGTCCAAGCGGCTGCGACTTACGGCCGGCCTTCTTCCGGGACCCGGGTCCACCCGCCTACCCGCTGTACCCGTATGCCTGCGTGCGTGCGTGGGCGCGCGCGGCCGGGGGGACGATTGCAGGCCGACGGTGACGGGGGCGGCGGCGATGGACGACGACAACGACGACGAGGACGACGGCAAAGACGACAAAGACAAGGACGTGAACCACACAGGAACGCGCAGGAATGGGTGGCCGCGAGTCCGAGGACGACGACCTTACGCGACGGGGGCCCCGTTATTGTCGGATCGGCGCGCGCGACGATGCGGCCCTCGCCTTTGCGCCGAAGCACTCGTCGGGGCTCCCGGCGCGCCGACCCCCGACTCCCGGCCCTCGCCCCGACGATACAAACCAGGGCCCGTAATCCGCTATCCTCTCCTCGGCTCCCGGGCGCACTCGGGTCACGAGCGGCGTCGCTTAACGTCGAAATCGGAGAACAGCTCGGGATACTCACATGTGATCAAAATGGATACTCTAACCAGAAGAGCTCGGGAGTCGCGCGCGCATGCGCCCCGCCGTCCCGACGTTATAAGGAGAGACGAGAGAATGCAAGAGAGACGGGCGCACGAGCCGCCGGGACCGGAGGATAGGCAGCGCGCGAACGAGCGACGGGTTCGCCAGCACTCGAAACACGGAATTTACGAATTACGAATGCCAAAGAAGAGGACGCTCCTATCTCGCGACGGCGGCGACGGCGGCGACGGCGGCGGCGGTGGCGGTGGTTTTCCTCGCGGCGGATCTCCAAGGGGCCCGGGGCTCCGCGGGCAACGCGATTCTCTCGGGTTTACGAGCTTCGAGCGTAATCGTCGCCGTCGACTCGATCAAGAGTAGCACGCCGATGTCATTATCCGAACACCAAGGCCACGCGCCTGCCGCCCGATTAACGATAATTCGTCATCTCCGGAGGCTACGCATACCCGTGCCTTTTAGGTCGTGCGAACGATGTAACAATCGAGAGTCCTTGGGCCGATTCTTCAGTCGGCTTACCTTAAAAGACAAAATAACAACGACAACAACAACAACAGAGCTTAACTTTAGCTGCGATACATCCATCTCAAATTCTAATTTGTCAGCAAATTATTAATAAACTCGGCGAAAATCAAATCAAATTGCCCTTATCCTTGCGTCTCATGCGCATTGAGCAAATTTAATTTTATGATTTTTCCGAGGCATCGCAAATACAATAATGTTATTTTCGTATTTACTTGTAATAGTGGGCCGAGTGGCCGGCCACGTCATACGAGCGAAACAAGCGGAATGCGAATCATATTCATTGCCTACATATATAGCCATTGAATATTGTATTTCATATTCGCGGTTACTCGTTCGGTAAGGCAGTGCACTGCGCGTCTTTATGATTCATCTTATCAGCGAGTGAGTATAAATTTTCGCGCCGTCAGCTTTAAAAGCTCGAGTCTTTATTTAATGCTGTTAATGTTTGATTTATTTAAGGTCTGCTCGAGTACTTTTTGATTATAATTAATGGGAGCCAACGAGGATATTGAGCTGCTGCCGTGCAGTTTTCAATTTCATAATTTTTATCACGAAGTTAACGAGGTTAGAATTCAGTGTCAAATTATGAAAATGGAAAAGAGCCTGTATCTGTGGCTTGGAGATTATACTGAAAGAACGATGAATGATTTAGCGCTCGCATTTGCAACTGATAGCGAAAATAAGAAAACCGTTTTATCAACGAAAATAATGGGACACGTAGCGGACGAGACGTCGCTCAATATTGCAAACAGATTGTCTAAGAAGGCAGGCCAGCCCGTTTATGTCAGTTATAATTTAAATTTGCCACCTCCTACCTTACTCAGCCTCGAGAGAAGAATTCACGAGGAATTTAAAAGCAAACCTGAACTTCTAGATTCGTAATTAATGCCAATAACGATATTGTTTAATTGATTTCAAGCTTAATTCTTATATTACATAAGGTAATAATCATTATTCTCGATTGAATAAATTCTTATATTTTCTTTCTTTTTACACAATTTATAAATTATGGTATAAAAATTTTTAAAATTGCATCATTATCTGTAGATTTTGTAACTTTCGTACATAATATTTAAGCAATATCATACTCGTCGACATTTGTAATTAATCACACCTACACGGTAAGTACAATTCATGCTGCATTTCCATAACAAAAGTATAATTTGAGTTTTGTAATGCGTAAAACCTTATGATAAAAACTGCATTCCTCTTATAAATTGTAATTAAAATAGCGCAAGTCTATTTTAATATACATATGTAATTAAAATTTACGAGTCCTTGCATCTTTGTCTTGCACAATTTTCAAGACCTTCGGCGACCCTTAACTAGGAAAAAGTGATATTCCATTCGATTCTTGGAATCGAGAGATTCATTTTGTTTAAAATCTGTGATAGAACGATTACTCTCTTTCAACACTGTAATTGTCGTTTAAGAAGCCGGTACCTTTGGCATCGCCCAGCCAAGGATATTTGTTTGGACATTCTCTGCATGTTTCCATATACCTAGTGAAACATAAATTTATAAATTATTTAATTAAAAATGAGGTTCGATATAGTTTAGGCTGATGCATTTGCTACAAGATAACAGTTGGATTCCAATGTAATTAGTTTAAAAATTTTATAAACAATTTTTAAGGAAGCATACGTTTGTTAATTATATGAAATAAAAATATTACCGATAATTTGGAAGATGAACATTAGATAAACGTTATTGTGACAAATATGTTAATTACATAAGCTTACTACTCGAAAAATCATAAGTCATTAAATTGCACATGAAAGATGAAGAGTTTGAGATGCAAGGGAACGCGCCTCGAAGATATCTCACACATTCACTCACTCCCTCACTCACTCACTCTCTGTCGTAAAATAACATCAACCTCTTTCTTTAAATTTAATGACTTACCTTGTAGATGAAAAATTAAAATCAGCAGGTTTAAACTCAAGAGCACATTTATTTGCATTATTACACGGTGGCTGGGGAAGATTTTCCTTCTTCTTGCATGACCAACCATCAAAATTATGCAATCCATTAATGGGTGTTGGATCCGTTATCCAAGTCAAGGCTTGCGTTGCAGTAACAAAGTAGACATCGGGACTATGAGAAAACGTATGAAAATTAAAATGATTCAGGGTAAATCTCGAACGCTGAAAGATTGAGTTTCACCGCATTGCACTAGGATATAGCCAGTTTTGGATTTGAATTTGAAAGCGGATAACAAATATGCGCACTTACAGGGTAGTCGCCCAATCCAAAAATTTAGCCAGACCACGCTCGAGCTCCTTTATTTGGAACCAATTCGTGTGGAAGGGCATCATGTAAGGTGCACGATTCTGATCGTAATATCTGCTGAAGTCCTCCTGCAGCCACTCGAAGACTTCCTCGGCGTCATGGCTGTGGAGGACGCATTGGTCTAGATAAGGACAGTGGCCACCTTCGTACGTCTCCACGTAGTGAGCATTGAGAGGAATTTCCCAGACACCTGTACGCATAATTGCAAGTGATTCAATAGATGATAAAATCGCTAGACTCGACTTTTTCATTATCGATATTATGTACCTGGGAAGGATTTTGTAGGGCAAGTGCCGGCTTTACACTCGTGCGGTATTTTATAGTCAAGCGTATAAGGCCAAATGGGAGTTTTGCTCGGTGAAACGCCGATGCTGCTGTCGTATATGTAGCCGAAGTCTTCCATAACTTTATATTGGGTATTGCGACCTGGTTTTAAATATGGCGCACGCATACCAACTACCTCGCTGCTCGATATGTTGCTGAAGTGCTTAAGGATTTCTCGCATGCCGATCATTTCGCTCAGCCAGTCATCATAACTCTTGTCCTCCAAACCTTTTTGAAGGCTGGAAAAGTTTTTGCTTTTTACGATACTCGGATTAGGCATTCACGTGCCCGACTATTCATAAAACTTTAAAGGGTCGTTAAAGATTCTTTAACGGTCTTCATTGTCGTCCAAGGTGTTTAAGGTCATCCGATTATCGAATAGTGGGCATTATTTGTGATGGACGAGTAAAACGATCGTTAAATTATTAAAAAGGAAAATTCGACTCTCCCGAGCGAGGGGAAAGTTAAATGGAAGATCGATAAAAGTTTGCACCGCTCTAAATATATAAGTAGAAGTAGATACGGAACAAGTTTGGTAAGACACTCATTTCAAATAAACTTTCATTGATTGTTACTGAAATTTCCTTGTTCTTGGAGTAATTAGATTAGTTGTAAATATCAAAATTTTTATACATTAATTGAGAGCAATATTAGGCAGCGGCGTAGCGGAGGGGTAAGGGGGATCAATGAACGCGAAATAAATTATAAATTGCAGATAATATTTTACGAATAATAAAAATAATAAAAACAAAAAAAAAATTATACTACTTTTCGTTCTCGTCGTTATTGCTTGGAAGGTAATTTGAAAGGATTCAAGCTTATGTACAAGAAATAATCATATTGATTGTGCATGTGATACAAGTATGCGTTTGAGCATGAAGCACAAACAGCGCAGTTGAGTGACTTTGATTTTACATATAAAAGCCAAAAAGTAACCAACCAACCCATTATTATTATTATTATTATTATTGTTGTTGTTGTTGTTGTTGTTATTATTATTCTTATTGTTATTGTTATTATTTGTAATATTAATATTTTATTGCATTCGTAGAGCTTGCTACATTGTCGATATCATTTAAATAATATCATTCGTATTATTTTAAGGAGCGGCATAATTATTACGATCCGCGCCAACATTTGCAATTCGCATATGAAAGAAAATATAGTATTGTACTTACGAGATAGTTTCGGTAGCTATTTCGTGGCCATCGTGGGCAAGGCTTTGAACCATGTTGTAGTTGCAGTATTCGTGAGAAATGAAAAATGTTCCTTTTAACGGGCACTCGTTCGGATTCAATCTATCCGAGTTGAATATTTTTTGATAATGATCAAAATTGTTATGATTAACTGCCCCGTCAAATGTCAATAAAATCATTTGCGGTGTCTAAAGGAAGGATAACATTATTGCATTGTTTTATTTTACGACGTAGTATGCAATTCAATTTTATCTTTATAAGAGCTTACGTCTTGAGGTTTTAAGCCACCGGGGACTAACGTGCCGTCCCGAGAGCAGAAGCAGTATGGTAACGAACATTTTGACGTGTCGCATCGTTCCGCCAAGTCGGTGGGTGTTTCGGTCACTGGAGCCGGGGCTACAAATCGACACAAATAATGAGGAATTCAATTGCTAATAATCGCCAATTATCGAATAAATATAATTGAAAAGGAGAACAAAATATACGCACTCGTAGGAATGGGACCACATCGAGCTTCATTTTTGAATGTGCAAAATTTACTAATGTCGTCGAAGTGCAGACCGGATGGGCAACGATTTAAGTATGGATAGCCGTCGACACACTGAATAAAATTAAATATTGCTCATTAATCATTACGATATAAATTAAATTCACATCGTTATACGAATATTTATTAATACGATCTCTTATTATCTCATTGGTATGGAGCTACGAAAGAATATTTTCGTTTATTAATTTTTCCAAAGTTTTCATTATCATCTCTCTTTATAAGGCTCTCTTTATAAAATATTCGATGTATAATATAAATTTCGGAAATTTCGACGAATACGTTTTATTTTATTGATGAATGACAGTCTGATATTGAAAATTAATTTATAGTTTATTGCAAACGAGAGGAAAAATAATTTCAAATCTTATTTACGCATTATATTGTAAATTACAAAGTATTTTATCATGTCGTTCGCTTATAAAATGGTGCAATAATTTAATCGAAATTTAAAATTTTCAAATTTATCACAGCATCCGAACAACAACGTCATTCCTCTCTATTTTCTGCTAAAAGGCAAATTTTTTTTTATATTCCATTAATATTTACAGTCATAAGCATTACTGATTTCAAATTATAATAAGCTTTCGATCGTGATTCATACTAAACAACTAAAATCGTAAATTATTACCAAAATAATAAAAGAACACGAAAGATAGATATTTATGCCCAATGCTTCATTTTCTTTTGAATACGACATTATAAGAAATCGAGTTTAATACATTTTTGTAATAAGTTATATGGTACCCATAGATTTTACATACCTGATAAAATCTTCTGCATGTCGCCGGGTCGGCGAAGTTTCCGTTTCCTTGACCTTCGGGGCATTTGAATTCTTCTTCTTTCTTTTGATCTGATTGATTTCTATTGGTTTGACCATTAACTAAATGTCGAAAATACAACTCAAAATTTATCCGTGTAATTATTATTTCATTATAAATTGTGAAAGAAATAGTTATAAACGGCTCTGGGAAATTAGTCGCATGATAAATATGACTGTCGCGAGCAAAGAGAAATTTAAAGACATCTGTGAGAAAGTGCGATAGAGATGGTATTTTTCACAGTATCTGTGCATTCAAAGAGTATTTCAAATAATAGTTAACGTCTCCGTAAGGATCACAATAACAACGATCATTAGTCGCTTCTGTAAGTTGTTCGCTTATTTAGCGAAAGCCGTTCAACTTACTAATTTTTTTTTTTTTTTTTTTTTTTTTTTTTTTTTTTTTTAACAATGGGGCGAGTGTTTTGTTTGATTGCGCTTGAACATCGAGTAAATTTTTAATATAATAAAAAGAGAACTTTTTTTTTGTTCATGAAAAAGAAAAAGAAATAGAAATACACTTACTACATTTATAAAATGCTCTTTGTATTTACAGAATACACAAAGTCTATCGCTGTTAATTATAATGAGAAATTGGTGCAAAGGCAATATTAAAATGAATTCTGCAAATTTTTTTCAAATATCCATATAGCAATAAATTAAGAATAATATGCTCGCTTCATAAAGATAATCCTGTTTTTGTGTCATAATAAAAAGAAAAAGGACAATTATTAGAATAAAAATCAATGTTAACCAATAAATAAACTGAGTCATTAAAAATAAAAATTTTTTTTTAATATTTAAACAAACAAGAAGAATTGCATTTTTCGAAATATTATCTGAAATATTGTATCAAAAGAAAGAAATTTAATATTGGACAGATTATCATTGTAAAAAAATCAGGTTTGAATGTTGCGATTATTCCAATGTTTTTTTGAGTGAACCAAGTTTATGCGGTGGATTGATTAATGATTCCGCAAAAACGTCAGCGAATTTCTCGACCTTATAATATATATTTACGCACAAGATCTGGCTCAACTTTTTATACTTGTATATTATTTTAGTAATAACATTATTTTTATATAATTTCTTTCGATTCACAAATTATTCACGATTATCATGCATATTTACAATAATAGGAAAAAAGGATAAAAGGACTTTTTTGTTAAATATAGTTTTTATAATAGGCATCCGTAATACATTGATTTATTATAAATTTTAAAAATGTAGTTTAAAATTTATAGTAAGACCTATTTTGCCTAAATCTATGTATTAAAAGCAATGTTCTAGCGTCGTTAATATTTTTTTGATGGAATTAATTTCATATACAAAATTTTTATTATTTTTTTTTTTTTTTTTTTTTTTATTTTTTTTTAATTATGAAACCAAGACGTTTATAAGATCATTAACTTTGACAAGAGTGCTTACCAATCAATAAGTGAAAGTAACAAATTTCTTTTTAAAATATAATTAAATTAAAATTACCTTACCTACATTCAGTTAATAAGATCCTTATGAAATACAATCGACACATTGAATTGAAATAGTAAAAAATTACGAGTGTACTGTCTTTTGTTTAATTAAATTGATGATAATAAACGAAAGTTTCTCCATTTATAGGAGCACGACTTTCAAGATGTAGTTTTTTTTCTTCAAAATGATGTATTCAACCTCGGTTCAGAAAGATATTTTGTTGTTGAGATCGAATTCGAGTGGGCAAGAAAACAGAAATAACCCATTCATTAACAACATCATAGAACACTAAAACGTATTATTTTCCTCGTATGTCACACCGAGAGAGAGAGAGAGGGAGAGAGAGAGAGAGAGAGAGAGAGAGAGAGAGAGAGAGAGAGGTCCATCCAATACAAGACAAAAAAAAAAGAACGAAAAATCAGGCGAGCCAATGCATATTTAAAAGCACAATGCAGGTAAATTAAATCAGACGATTTAAGAGTGCCGTGGAAATTTAAATGGTGATACTTTACGCGGTGATAAATCAAATTATAACAGTAAAGTGAAAAGTGAAGGTGCAACAAGCGCATGCTTGCCGATAGACGCGCTCACGCATTCACGCATGCAGGCACGCACGCACGCACGTCCTTACTCACGGTAAAATAGTTCGTGCGTGTAACTCTTGGGCGAATGTCCGATGCACTTGCGCAGGTGGATTCTCGTAGGTTCAAAAGTATTAAAAAGAATTAAAAAAAATGAAATAGAAGAAGCCGCGAGTCCGGCGTATAGCGGATGGGTCCGTACAGCTGAAGCAAGAGGCGCTTCGAAGGTGAAGTGAGATAGAGATAGACAACGGCCTCGTTAACGGCGTTAAAGGCGGACGGACAAAAGGGTACACGGAGTGTACTTTCACGCTGGGCCTCGCGCCACCTCACATTCCGACGGAAACGATTCTCAGGTTTTAATTTCATTGCATCTCCTCTCCTCGATTTATCTTTATAGCTACGAAGATGGAGAGTGAGTGAGAGAGAGAGAGAGAGAGAGAGAGAGAAATAAACAGAGAAAGATAATGAGTGAGAGAAAACTCACCGGAGAGGATGGCCAGCGCGGCGATCACGATGGCACCGAGACTTCGGAGGGACGTCATCCCTGAAAGCGGCCTTTGTCGTGCGTTGGTCCAGGCTGTGAGCCTGTTTATCGTGGGAGTGGAGGTGGTGGCAGAGAGGAAGCGAGTCCCGAGTAGAGTGTCCGGCTCTCGTAGGCGCACTCTGATGTACACTTAAGGTTGACGGCTCGGTGCTAAGGACGTGGCCGCGGAAGCGTTAACGCATCGAAGGAGCGAGTAGGAGTGAGCCACCTCTCCCCGCTCGTAGCTCATGAGTCCCCGGCACCGGAGGGGAAGGAGCGCGCCTCTCATTTTTCGCTTGGAAGCGGGACCGGAGCTCCAGCAGCTCATTGGCTGGCGCGACTTTCTACGGAGCAGCCAAGGCCCAACGCCCCGGGACCGCTTTCCGCGACGCCTTCGGGGACGCGCCGAGCGGCCGACTGCTTTTGGCCCCCCGAGCGCCGGGGAAATTTATCGCTCGGATTTACATGATGCACCCATTGGCATTTCACTTTGCCGGGAATTTCACTTGGTACTGGGCCCCGAGACTCTTGCTCGAGAGAATGGAGATCCACGCACGGCGACGATTTCACGCGACCAATCGTCGTAAAACGTCGGCGATAATTTTTACGCGCACACGCGCTAGGATGCCGATGACTCAAGAGGAACGGACCCAAGCGTATGCGGGAATTTTTGGTCTCGGTCGTCCACATGACTACGATTATTAATATCGACACCTGTCATTACAACTTACATTGTGACGCGACAAGTTCGCCAGATAAGCATATAATTTTTAATTACTCCTGGTATTTATGAACAATTGTAATTAATGACCATTCGGAGATCGTTTATTATTCATTCAAATTCCGATGCAAACGAATGTAAAATAATTGTCGCGGCCTTTTTAAATTAACTGGTTTCTTTACGCTTCTTCTTATTTTGCTCTTTTCTTTGGCCGATGCTTAAAACACATGAATTACTTAAGAATTTTAAAAACCAATAGGAAGGTAAAGTGAGTTTTGCAAGTGGGCTTTTACAACATCGACACTTTATTTCATTACATCCCGATAATTGTCGAAACAAGTCTCAATTATAGATTGATTATCTTGCAATACGCCGAGAGATGACCAAAAGACGGGAATATTAAAGCTTTGGAAATCATGAAAATTATACATTGCCTTGTTATTCAAATAATTATAACTTTGTGATTTCACTGCACTATCGAGTGACTATTATTAATCAATCATTACAATTATTTTAACTACGTTGGAGAATATAATAAAAAAGGTTAATTGTTTATTTACAACATTGTGTATTACTTCATACGGTCGTATTATTATACGAGGACTACACATAATAATGTACATTGATATTAACATATTTGATTTAATTAGAATAAACTACTCGTTACTTTACAGATAACAGTAATAGTTACGGTAAATAAATATTTTATACATTTATTTAATAAGAGATCGAACAGTCGTAAGATTCTTTCGTTAATTCGACATTTTAAACTCTAGTTTTGGATATTTGGTATATAGATACATACAATGTCATTTTTCTATTAAATTATACTGATTTGATTCAATTTTTTTTTATTCAAAATTTAAACTTCTTTAATCCCTATATTGTTCAAGCCGACTAAAAGTCTTGTTCAATATACTGAAACAATAAATCTCCTTGATTATTGATATTCGAAATTGTTGAATAAGTTCTGCTTAAATAAAAAAAAAAAAGCAACAAAAAATTACATATAAAAATATAAATATACATATATTATGTCTGTATATATATATATATATATATATATATTATTTAGTAAAAGAAAACGTTCTAAAATACTTTATGTAGGTGACAATATGTCAAATATGTTTCTTATACATAATGAAGCACTTAAAATATTATTCGTAATTAATATTTGAAAACATTTTCTTTAAAAAATAATACAATTATGTTTTATCGTATGCACATACAAAGTTATAATTCTATGTTAGTTATTTTTGGCCCTCTCTTGAGTTTCTCCTTTTTCTTATTATTTTCAACTTTATTCGATTTCACAATTCTATTTGGATTAAAATAATTTGCTTCCTTCTGTACAATGTCGAGCTCTTGCATTGCTAAGTTAACCATGCCAAGCGTTGAATTATCTAGCCAATCTCTTGTTTTATTTAAAAAATGAAAGGACCATTGTATCGTGGAATTCCATTGTGGTTGAGTTCTTAAAATTCTGTGAGTTATGTCTGGTAAATTCAAAACGATGTCACCGAAAAAGGCAATATTCTCCAAGACACTCGACATAGCTATTAAGAAAAGCATTTAAAATGAATGTTTCTATAAATTTTGTCGTTTCTTTTAAAATATTCGTTATTACCATCTCTAACGTCGTATTTTTTTGCCTCAATATCCGTTGAAAATGAAATGTTGGCCAATTTTAAATCGGTAAAATCTTCTAAATGGCTTTTCTTAATCTTTATTACATCGATAATTTTTTGTGACAAAGCGTCTATCATTTTATACTGGCGTTCGTAATTATTGATATCTTTTAGATTCTTAATCGCTTGTAAATGCTCCTTTCTTCGTTCTAAAAACAGTCTTTTAACTAAATATTTATTATAAGAAATATGCATGTTTACGTTTTAATTGAAATAATTTAGCACATATTTAATAACGGAACTCGAAAGTCTTTCTTCTCCGACCAATTAAGCTTCGACGATTTGCTCGTGAATCGACAAATTCATAATTACTACGTAACGGTTGGTAAAGTTATTTATGAAGCGCAAACTTATTGCAAACTTATTTTTACCAAAACTTTATTGCTATTTTATTGATATTTTCATTTCATTGTATGCAATCGTGAGATCATAATGCCGTTTATTTAAAATTATCTTTAAAAATCGTGTACTTTTGTCAATATTATGTATGATGCCCTTTAAATAGCGTATAATTTATATAAAATTTAAAAGCGGTGATTCGCGCGGCAAGATTTTTTATTCGAAAAGCAAAAAAAAACAATGGCATAAGGATTTTAAGCCGGGAATTATTAAGCATCTCGTATCTCTTAATGCAACGACATCGATCAATCGGTCATTGGTAAGCGAAAACACGCGAGTAGGCCTACGAAAAAAAAAAAGGATACACAATTTCCTATTGATGGAAATCAAATCGACGGCAGTTTCGCTCTTTTCAACCTCGGCTTCCTCCACTGGCTGATGCTCCTGCACAGGCGCACTCGATCTCCTCGACAAATCAACATTCTGCTGTGCACTGATAATCGGCGACTGCACGACTGCCACGACGATCGTTGTTACGCACGCCAGGAAAAATGCTCTAGCAACATTCGAGAATACTCCCGCGGTCAATTTGGTCATCGCGACGCACACGAGATTCAAATTCTGTCAGGCTTAGGCTAATTGAAAGGACCGCAGTCGTTAAAACGACGAGCTTACTTTTAAATCTTCCCCCGGCTTGTTGACGCAGGCACACGTGTCGCGGCCATTTCCCGACCACTGTGCCATCTACCGGTGCTTGAACGCGGAGATACCGAGGCACATAATCGGGAACAATCGGTACATCATACAGTACTCGAGTAGCAGCGGTTGTTGTCATTCTTCGTTTAATTGGTTCACGGGCGCGAGGATGCGTGTGTGAACGTAGTTCTGCTGCTTGTTAACATATTTTCATGTCCGAGCACGTACTTATCAATTGACGAGGAGAAAATATAGGCGTAGAGTTTTGTTGGAGTTGGAGGCTTGATAAATCTGACAGATAGAATAAAGGTTAAAGGAGAGGAGTGTGCGTTTGATAAGATTTGAATCTCGAAAGATCTGTAATGACGAAAGGCTTGAAAAGGACCTAATAAACAGTGGTATGATGTGGGTTCGAGCAAAGAAAAAATTCACTTGACACGGCGATTAGTCGAAGCACTTGTGTATTTTGTATAGCTAGTAGATGTGTAGGAAGATAAAATATTAGAATATAACCATATGCTGTAATAAATCGATTAATATCGTAGTCAATTAGTTGGACTTGGTAAATATCGATTTTTGTTTTTTTTTTTTTTTTTTTTTTAGTTCAAGCCGTAGGAACGATCATGGCTATGAATGAGGCGAAACTCGATGTAAGCTTATGTGTACACGTATATTTCTCATTTACCATTAGGGACTTTTAGTTTGACGTTTGATGTTCCCATTCTAGATGTACGAGGATGGGTTGTCAGCGATAGATCCCCAGCATGTGCAAGGCGATATGACCATTGGCCCAAATTTAAGAAGTCAGGCATCGCTGGGAGAGCCAGACTTCAATACACTAGACGAGCCAATAAAAGATACAATTGTATTATATCTAGCCGATAAGCGTCCATTTATTCCTTAAGCGTTTGACATTATCTTAAGTACAATTTTATTTACAGCTAAGAGATGTACGAGCGGTTGGAAGAAAGTTTTATCATGTTTTATATCCTAAGGAGAGAAACAGTTTACTTAAAGAATGTAAATAAATAGCGTTTGCTCTACGATAATTATCATAACCGAAGGATTTTTATAAAATACTTTCAATTTTCAGGGGACTTATGGGGGCCGTTGGTACTTTGTACATTTATGGCTATGTAAGTATCGAGTGAATTAACTTTTAAGAATTCCTTGCGCGTAAAATATAATGAAATATTTGTAGGATATTGCAAGGGTCTTCCGATGTAGCAAATAATTCAAACGACGGTGGTCCTGAATTTGCCGAAGTTTTTGTAATAGTGTGGATTGGTTCTATGGTGGTAACATTAAATAGTAAATTGCTTGGTGGCAAAATGTTAGTATTATCTTTTGAATATAATGGAAATATGCTAAGGCATAAAGATATAAAGATATATATTAGTACGTTTAATGTTTAGATCGTTCTTCCAAAGCGTTTGTGTCCTGGGATATTGTTTACTACCAACGGCAATTGCATTAATTATTTGTCGAATTATATTGCTAGCCAGTCAAACTGTTTATCTATTTACAATTCGTTTTCTCATTACAACAACTGGATTGCTATGGGCTATCTATGGTAAATATTTGCATTATTATTGCTGCCGCTACTTTTGCTACTACTACAACTATTACTACTATCGTCATTAATTGTATAATTTAGTTTATAAATAAAATAATTCATGTTTTAGCATCGACGACTTTTCTCGGCGATACCCAAGTACCAGAAAGGAGAGCTCTGACGGTTTATCCGATATTTTTGTTTTATTTTATAATTTCATGGTTGGTAATATCCCATACTTCCTAAGATTTAATGGAGTAAAGGCAACGATGAATTGTACAACTTAGCACAAAATTGTAAAAAACATTATGCGTACGGGCATAAAGTTAATTATTAAAAAATCAATACGAAGTAGCAGCAGTGCGTCATTACACATGTTTGAAAATCAAGATAGCAATTTTAATAAGAAAGTGCTATAATGTCATCTTATCAAATACTATTGTGTTTGTAAGACTGGTTTGCGAGAAATTGCAAAAATATGTGATGATAGATTTATTTTATATTTGTATGCAACAAATAGTATGCTATGGCATTTATTTTTCTTTGAAAGTTAAAAACAAGTAACTAGTTAATGATTTTACTATTAGAATCCATTCGTGTACATTGCACTTGCCTCAGATGGTCTGTACATTGTACGTATTAATTCATAAGAACGGTGATAAGTGAGTAAGGAGAATAAATTGTTATAGAAATGTTTTATCAATCTGATTTTCATTTTTCTTACATGAATGTAAAATACTTTTGTAGTTTTTTAAAGATTTCTTGACTATCACGGTGTGCTGGATATGCATTTAAAGCCTTTTGTATTGAATTGTAACTAGTCTGCAGGTCTCCATTCTAAATTCGAAATAGTCAAAAGGATGAAAATTGCGAAGGAGGATCGCATGGGCAGTACGAATGGAAGAAAATGTAACGTAATAATATATACCTTGTATGCTAAATAAGAACTATTGAAGTGTGGCTCATAAAGATAATTGGCTATACTAGCTGCAGTGTGGAAATATATGCGAGCATTCACGATATTTCCATTTTTCATTTCCAAAACACCAAGATTATTGTAAGATGGGGCGTGTCTATTGTCCGCATCAATCGCTAATCTTAAGCAATCCGAGGCCATAATCAAGTCTCCCAAACACTAGAAAATTTTATTATATTTTTAATTTCATTTAAATAGATAAGATATTTAAGTTTAACTCACTATGGCTACGTGCGAAATGTTGTACCACACGTCTGCGATATTTTCATTAGTGGCTAAAATTAAGGCTCTTTCGAAACAGGAGATTGTAAAGTCGTACTGTTGAGCGTAAAAGCAGCACAGTCCCAAATTATTAAATAATTCAGCATTGTGAACACCCATTTGCAGTAATCTCCTGTTTTAATATTATGATGTTGTTAATATTTATTTTCAATACTTTTTAAACGATATCTTAAAAATGAACAAAAAATATAATAATTTTCAACAAATTTTACGAGTCCTTTTATTTATGTCTTCGATTAATTGATGAATATTATTTCCAAGCAATTTGTTTAACAAAATTTTATACGAATATTTACAAATCCTAAAGTGGATTGCCATTGTCGTTGTTGGAATTTTCCGTACGTCACGAGGGACAGAGTTGGCATAATTTTTGTATAGATGTAGTTCACGTAGGTGTTTTGCTTTTAAATAAATTATCGCCACTCTTCCACGCTCTTTATCGAACAATATTGTAGGTTATAATAAGAAACGATTCATTAATATTTGATTTATTATAGGTTGATTAATAATTTTAAAAGAAACAAAAAATCAGATAACATATGATATGGAATAAAGGAAAGCACTTGAAAATTCATTTATTGAAACGAACAAATGAAACAATTGCCTCAACGAATAATAATCTTTCGTTCTTTTAATGTACATATTAAATTACGCGATGACGGAATAAATTTTTACGTTTAAATTTTACGATTGTAAAATCTTTAATAAAAATTCAATAATAATAATAGCTTCAAGACATAAATATAACGTGCAAATATCGATTATTTATGAATTGTATTTATATTAATTTTTAAATTGTTGCATTAAGATAAAAGGGCCTCTCACGGTCAAATAGCATTGAAAATTTATTTAAAAAAATATATATTTCCTTTAACAATACGTTGCGTCAAATTATTAATAGCTTAATTTTTAATCATCGTTTATTCATTTTTGTATTATATATATATATATATATATATATATATATATATAGGTTTATTCATTGATTTCTTAACGATAGTAAGGAATTTTCGTTTCACGCATTAAAAAGCGAAAGCAAAAAATTGACGAACGCAGTTAAGAACGCGGTAAAATTGCTTATTATTCATTTTTTCATATTTGTTGTTGTTGTTGTTATTATTATAATAATCGAGTCGGCATAGAACTTTATAAATAATAACGATTTTCATTTAGAGAGCAGCGCAACTTCTAGCGTTTATTGTTAAAAAATTACCTGTAATATCTGAGCGCGACCTCTTGTTGATCGTTATAAAAATAATGTAGCCCTATACTGGCTATGGCCTCGGTGTGCGAGGAATCCTCTTGCACTATCATTTTGTAATATTTCATAGACATCGTCGTGTTATTCATGTCCTCGAAGATCCTGGCCATTTCCGTCAATAGCGCCACCTTAAAAAAAGGGAGCCACAAAGTGCCGATATTATCAATAATCGTGTCATCGCGTAAGCACATGCGTTTGCTATTTCGCCTAATTACATCGTTCGCAAAGTAGTCCAAGCCCTTCTTGCACAGATCCAGCGCTGCCAGTGGCTGATCCAGCTTTATGTAAACCCTGACCAGCCGGAGGATCGTCTCGATCGACTTGCACTCACGCAAAGCCGATCGAAATTGCTGCTCGGCATCCCTCACCATCCCGAGGATGTAGTAACACTTGCCCAATTGTACTTTCCACCACCAGTCCTTGTATTGGCATACCTGGGTTGCCTGGACCGCTAGATCGAGTGCCTGAAGTTCAAGGCGTACATTTTATTTTATAGCTTATACGTTGGAAACTCGATCCCTGATCCGCGGCCTCGCACAATGCATTCGAGAGTCTCGAAGTGAGAGCCTCGAGCCCCTGGCTCGGCCAATCCATCGCGACAATCCATTACGATTAAAGAAACCGTGCGCCAGAATAGAATTAATTTTTTCTTACGTATCGCGGATCGTGCTCATGATAAAAGATGTACTCGAAGAGCGGCTTGGCAATGGTGGGCTGGGCCGCGTACTTTGCGACGTTGAGCCTCGAGAGCTGGATAAACGGACCACCAGGTTCCGTGAGCATCGAGGCCGTGCCGAGTCTGTAACGGATGTTTCGGTCAAAGGCTAACGGACGCGGTGCTACGAGGACCACGGCGATCCTCTCACCTCATGTGTCTACCGGTGATCGCTGTTATAGGACGCGCAGTTGACGCCGTCCTCGGGGTACGCAGAGTCTGCTCCAGAGTGCTAGATGTGTCGAGAGCCGATTGCGTTGCCGGACGTACCGAGCCAGTCAACGGTCTACCTGAATTCGTGCATTGAATTAGATCGGTGGCCATTTACAATGGATCGAGGATGCTCGTCGAGCTAGTAGTAATTGGTAAATAATTGGCAAACATAGGATTTCACTGGGTAATGTAGAAATTAATTGGAAGTGTTCGCTCGAAATCGTTCCCACTCGGTCTGACGATTTCGCTTATTTCTACCCTACTTTTGTGGCAAATGATAATGCTTCCTTTACACATCGTTTGATCGAGTCGCGAATCGTGTAATGAACAATTACGGTGAAATTATAACGACCTTTCTTTCACGTAACGAAGACGATCGCTCCAGAATAAGCTTAATTACTTGGTGCCATTGAGGCGAGCTATTATTGATTATCGCATCCGACAAAGCTTAACTTCAGTGATTGAGCTCGATATCCAGCTGGGACGCCAGGCCATCGCTAGAACGACATTCAATAATGCATGAAGCGAGGAAGATCTGAATTGAACCTGATTGAGTCTTGGGCCGAAAGCCTTGTCCAGTGACGGCGGTCCCGGGATGCCTGAGGGACGTCCCCGGCCTGGGCATTGCGGCTATCGTAT